TATATTCCAATACGTTGGTGTCTGACGTTGACATACTTTGGAAATTTATATATTTATTTGAATATATATGTGCCACAAGTCCCTTGAAATAAATAAAAACACTGCCAGGAGACTCAGCACGCACAGAAACATTCAAGCAGACGAAACATCTCTCACATGCAACTGTCAATCAAACCACGTGATGTAAACAATTAGCCATGTGGCGTGAATTGGGGCAAAGCGTACAGTTCAGTATGAGAGAATTTACTCGAGGGCTTTGTTTACTAAAAGTTAAAAAAACATCAATTCGTGTTTATAATATCCTAATAAACAGCCCATTTGATCAGATTTTTGGCAAAGGGACGACGCGTGAACACAATACAGCAGTAAACTTGTGCCAAATTTGTATGCTTACTATAGAGCCCAGTGAGCGTGCTGAACCAACTATGTCACTTCCGGTTGAATAAGAATTAATTTCTCGCTTACAAAAACTTGTTTGCTTGTTTTACAGAGGGCATTATTTATCAATAAATATTTAAGATTTATAGAAACCTTGTTGAAAATCGCCGGTCTTCCCCTTTAAGGAATAACTGAGATTTTGTTTTTATCTGGTATACTTAATGATACTAACTAAAGGATTTAGTTTGAATATCAGGGGAACCCTTCATTGCTAGATTTGCTGCCATACTAAATAAACGTATTTTTAAAGACTGGTTTCTATCTCTCCCTGTGGAATATAGGCAATTAAATCTAAAATTTAAGACTCGAACCCTCTATTTTTTGGAGTACAGTAAGCTGAGCCAAGAATCGTGTACTTATTATTACAAGTAAGTGAAATGTTTTGCTGTTTTGAAGATGGTTTAGAAATTTAGGAAATTTATCGGAAAAGACATTTTTTAAAACCTGTCATGGGCCGTCCAGAAAGAAGACAAAGGGAAAAGGAACGGGCAGAGTGGATATAAGTGTACTGTTTAAAATATATTAAACATATTGAATGTTTTTTTTTTCGTTTAAAAAATTGCTCTCTGTACTATTTTGTTATTGGTAAAAACTCCTCAGAATCATTAAAATAGCTATGGGAACAATATAAACAGCTAGATTTAACTTTAAAAAAAAGCGAAAAGTTATTATTTCAATGTGGTCGCCATTTTTGAATTTTAACGTGGTAAAATTCGCCTTTGCCATCGGATTGTTAATCACCAATGAATAATACAGTAAAATGTTACATTTATTTCAATTGGAATTGAATATTGATATGTTTACCTGTGTGTGTGGCTTGTTTTAGTTTATATAAATTAAAAAATTTGTAGGCCTGTACATTTGTGTATCCAATTGAATACACATTCTCAAAGACTTTACGTAGTCTTCGAACACTACTGGGAATGGAGGTGGAGCTGGAATCTTAGTAGTGTAAATATTTCTAGTTCTTGTAGTGTACATGAGAGAATAAATCGTGAATGGTGGCTTGAAGATTTGTCTTTAGATTAGATTTCGTATCATTTGCTGCCTCAGGGATTAGAATTGTTTGCCAGAGAATGATGCTGAAAATACCCACATTGTGCGTTTTAGAGCGTCTAGTTTTCAAAAAATTCAGGGGGAGGACCCCCTAACCCCCATCTATACCAATAGTCGCCCGCGCATGTCCATAAAGATCGCAATCTATGTACATAGTGGAGACGTAAACGTTAAGTCTACAGGTAGGGCCTATGTTGCATAATAATGGACCAGTCGCAGAGGCCTCAATTAACCCTAAGTAGCCCCATCAGCACCAGCTAGCACCTGTGGTCAACCATTATACCGTAACCCAAATTATTTGGGGCTCACGAGAAACGTTGTCTGGACAATGTATGTGACAGGGGTCTGACAATATTTGTGACAGGGGCCTAACAATATCTGTGACACACAATATCTGTGACAGAGGCCTGACAACATCTGTGAGGGGCCTTATTTCCGGTCTTGATTGTGATGATAAATGTATCAGCATAAATAATTGATGTAATTCACAAAAGCCAACACAGCAATAATATTACATGTATTTCAATACAGTTTTAGTCATACAATATTATATTATTTAAAACAAATAATGTCATATTAGCCTACACATAAATCTATCATGACCTTCACCTATATCTGCCATTACATTACCCACCCTTGGTAAAGATAGAACTGTTACTGTTGTATTAATGGATGAAACAGACTGTCAACAATCTAATATAATATCTGCCATTACCTTACCCACCCTTGGTGAAGATAAGAGCTGTTACTGTTGTACTGTTGTATTTCTGGATGAATGAGACTAAATAAAATGTCAATCTAATACTGCATGACTGTGCTAAGACTAAATAACATGTCTGCAATTTAATGTAGTATTTCTGGTCTGAAGCCAGTGCCAATGGAACAATAACAGCTCAATCCCTACCAAGGTTAGCCATGGAGGTAACAGCCATTGAGGTTGAATGAAGAGAGTGCAAGCTCATTTAAAAACTTTCTAGTTATCTTGTTTTTTTGAAGACTGTTTCAACCGTTTGTTCTTATGTGTGGTTTAAAGCCGTGTTTACATGATACAACAAATCCATACAACCGTTGGATGCAACATATTGGACGACCGTTTACACGATACAATAGTTTTATCCGTTGTATGGCAACATTTGTTCCTTCTTAGTAACTGAATAAAATGGTAGCAACAGACTTCAAGGCGACCCTTCTCTTCCCCGTCGTGAATTTTTGATGCCGCAGGTTCCACAAAGTCTGTGCTTCCTATACACATGCTGATTCAGTTGGGGATAGGTTTAGATCAATTTTAGAGGACGTCAAAATACTCGAAGCGACAGAAGACGACATCTTTTCTGGTTGCCATGTCAGATATGACGTCATACAGCGTATGATAGAAATTGGTCGGATGAGAATAGAACTGATCCTATCAATACAAGATGTCTATCCGACCATTTGTCTGGTGAGTTGGTCGGATGCAACTGTTACATCCAACGGTTGTATGGATTGGTTGTATCGTGTAAATGCCGCTTAATGGTCTAGAGGGATACATTAAGTAGCATACTGAAACCACACGATATACTACGCACCGTCTTAAGCTCCAGACCATTAAACTGTAAACAACTTAAAATACAGACACTCGCACTTGCTTTGCAATAAAATACGTCACGCAGGTCCAAAATTTCAATTAGTAGTATGCTTAGCACATTGCCTAAACCTTTTTTTGAAATAATGGTACGCCAACATCAAAGGATGACGTCACATCTGCATTTTAAGTCCAATTAATGTGTAGGCGGTCCTGAGCAGTGGGAGGATACCAGAGAACCTGTAGAAACCGTTTAGGTAAAGTAGGCGACCTTATTCCTTGCCCTTTTTAAGTTAATGATAAAAAAGAATAACATGTGACTCAACGACAGAATTTATAATAAAAAGCACACATGCAAGATAACCCAGACATTATCAGAGCTCAACCCTATTCATTCATAATCCCAGAATTGGCTAACGGAAAACAAACAAGAGGAAGGCCAAGATTACACAGTTCCAATAATTGGTGATTTGCTTAAAACCTTTTTTCATTCCACCAGCACATCCTCCCACTTGAAACAAACAGAATATTTTTCACTAAACCAGACCAAACCAGATGGATAAAAATAAAGTCTTCAGCAGCAAGCAAATCAAATCAACTTAAATTTCATTGGCTAATATACATACAAGCAGGATAATAAATAGTTTCTCCTATTAAATATGTCTTAGAAGGTGGACCATAATCGTAGTTATACTTTCATCTGTCTCTGTGATCTTGTCAAGAAGTGAGGGCAGAATGGGGTGTTAAGTTTATTTCACTGCCACAGATTATGGACAGAATTGGGCTTCATCCTCACGGTAGTAGAAGTGTTTCTAATTCTACAAAATCATTCAAGGTGAAAGCAGGAATTAAACTCAATCCCAGAAGTAGTTGAGAATTTGTTGCCAACTAAGATATCAGTCAGAGTGGATGCGTGCGTCATAACTTCGTTAGTATTAAAACTGTCTCTTATTTGCGACATGATTCAGGGTAGAGGTGTTTGTTTTAACTCTGGTAGTAGAATCTGTTCCCTTGTCCCTCTGGGTGTCAGCCGACATCCAACACCATCCTAGACGTAAGCCAAGGAGACATCTAGTCTGTCTTATCACAGAGAAATATTTTTATGTCGCAGCGTAGTGTAGGATGAAGTAATGCGATTTAATAATTATAATTTACAGATCACGATTCAGTTAATGCACACATCTAATAATAAATCGTTTCCGTAATGAAATGTTTCCGTTATGTAGCACTAGGTTATAATGTTCGGTTCCAAAATAAAGTCTTGTGAAGTAATCTGGAATTATAAGCTCTTTTCATATACTACCAAAAAACTACCATATTGTTATTCTCCAACCATCGAAATATATGGTACAAAATCAATTTGTTTCAGGATCTGAATAAAAAATCTTTGTTTTTCTTTCTGCATCTGCTTCATTTTTTGTTATTTTTCAACCATCCAAATCAAATTGTTCCAAGATTTGAGTAAAAAGAACAGAAACAGGAATGTCCGCACTTGTATCATTTAAATCACCGTAAATGCAGAATCCATTTAAATAAATTCATATTTTGGTGAATTCGGAAACCTTCACCATAATCTGCTGATAACTAAACACAAATCAACAAATTGGATGTAGAAAGACTGGATGTACATCGACTAAAGTCTTGGTTAATCTAGCGTTATATTATCTCATAGGGGTTATATTAGCACATGAAACAGAAGATTAAACGTAACTTATAACTGAAACACGGCAGCAAGGTATTAAAATAATACATCTGTTATAAAGCTGTTATGGAATTTAATGCGTTGTCTAGCTAAAAATGAATGTCAAATAATGTTATTATATTTATTAAACTTTCCAGCGTTAAATAACCGTAGGATAAAACTGATGAATATTATAATTAAAGGGAGATAATTTGTCGCATAAAGCTATATATATATATATATATATATATATATATATATATATATATATAGTCTTCTATCATAGATCTGTAATCTGTATGTATATATATATAATAAAACATGTTTGTACAAATAAACATTATAACACGATGGTACACCAGTTACCATCCCTTTATAACAGATAAACACAGTTATCCCCCTTTGACCTACAGTTTATAATGTGTATAACGTGAAATAATGTTTGGTTTTCTCTGTGAGTTGTTTGTGTTGTATTACTGGTAGTCGGTGTTAACAGTAGGGGCCTTGTAGCTTTAAATACTGAAATACACAAACAATATATCACATTAGATAATCTTCAAACGCAGACGGAGAATTAACAATCACATGATGTCTACCTGCTCTTGTGTAGAGAGAGAGAGAGAGAAATGGGGTTTAACGTCCACTCGACAAAAACTAGGTCATTTCGGGACTAACATATGGTTTAATTTTTATTTCAATAATTCGCTTGCGCGTAGGGGTCTTTAGCAGTGGGAGGAAACCGGATGACCCGGAGAAAACCCACGAGGTTGGACAGGCAACCCTACTCGTACGTGCTAACCATTCGGCCACCCAACACCCCCACCTGCTCTTGTGTGTCACCTCATTTCCGATAAAGACATCTTAATAGCATTTATAGGGGCATTATGGAAGATCAGATAAAGAGCTGACAGTTTTCGCCATATTAGTTAAAACCAGCGGCTGCCAGGCAGGATACGCCCACATTTTGCAAGAGATGATAGAGAACAAGCTAAAACAAACGTGATTTTTTTAACAATCAGGGGCAATAATCCAGAAAGTTATGGCCTGAAATGTGCAAATATCAAAAGGGACAGAGATCTTTGGGATATAAAGATATGTTTTAAGTTTCATCAAAATCAGATAAAAATTGTGACCTCAAGAGGGTCCACAACAGTTTTTAAAATCAGAAAAAAATTGTGACCTCTAGAGAATCTGCAAGCTAAAAATGTGATTTTTCGAACAATCAGGTGAGATAATTCAGGAAGTTAAGTCCGGGTATCCATGTTTATCAAAAGGAACAAAGATCTTAGTGTGTAATGGTGATATATTCAAACAATTTTTTAAATCGGATAAAAATTGTAACCTCTATTGGGTCCACAAGCTATATGTAAAAACGCGATTTATCATATAATCAGGGGCGATAATTCAGGAAGTTATGGTCCGATATGCGTGAATTTCGAAAGGAACCGAGATCTGTGGGTTATAAACATGAATTTCAAGTTTAAACCAAATCGGATGAAAATTGTGACCACCAGGGGGTCCACAACCCTGATACACAATAATTTGACACTATTTGCGAACAAGGGGCGGCCATTTTGTCCGTCAGTTTTGATCCGATTTTTACGAAATTCAAACTCAACCTCCCTTAGGTTGTAACGGTGATATATTGTAACATTTTTTTAAATCGGATAAAAATTTTGACCTCTATGGGGTCCACAAGCTAAAAACGCGATTTTTCGTACAATCAGGGGCCATAATTCAGGAAGTTATGGTCAGATATGCGCGAATATCGAAAGGAACCGAGATCTGTAGGTTATAAGCATACATTTCAAGTTTAAACCAAATCGGATAAAAATTGTGACCTCTACAGTGTTCACAAGCTAAAAACTAGATTTTTCGTACAATCAGGGGACATAATCCATGAATTTACAGTCCGATACATGCCAATATCGAAAGGAATCGAGATCTTAGGGTGATAAACCTATATTTCAAGTTTCATTGAAATCGGATAAAAATTGTGACCTGTAGACTGTTCACAAACAATTGTGGACGGATGGATGGACAGGTTCTACGACAATATACGTCCACATGAATATGAGTGAATCCAAATATATAAATATAAACAGAGAAATATCCCAAACCATTTGAATAACATAAACTTAGATGGGATCTAAGTCATAATAAACTTGATACAGTGAATACCCACGACTTTGTTTTTAACCACATGAAAATGAGGGCGTATAAAAATAGATAATGTAAGTATATGCTGAAAATTTCAGTCAAATTACATCACTCTGAGCCTAGAAATCCTCATTTCAATAACATTATAGCCTCGATTGTTATTGTTACCGCAATAAACAAAGTCTTGATTATTCATTTTCAATGGGGTAATTTACAACATTGAGTATTAATGTTTGAAACGTTAACGAAACACGAAAAAGGCCAAAGAAGAATAGATCGCTAACATGACTGACTTACCTGAATAACTAATGATGGCCCTCTGGCAACTATTTCAGCGGGAATCTGGCTTAAGGGACAATTTTCTATGCTCATAATTTGTAAATTACTACAATACGCCAACTCATACGGTAAACTGTGTAACTCAGGGTTATCATTTATATATAAATTCTCCAAACTTTCTAAATTACCTGTAAATAGCAAACATACAAAATTTAAATTACCTGTAAATAGCAAACATACAAAATTTAAATTACCTGTAAATATAAAGATAGAGAGAGAAATGGGGTTTAACGTCCACTCGACACAAACTAGGTCACCTTGGGACTAACATATGGTTCAATTTTAATTTAATAATCCGCTTGCGCGTAGCAATCTATAGCAGTGGGAGGAAACCGGAGGACCCGGGGAAAGCCCACGAGATTCGACAGGCGACCACAACGCGCATGTGGTGCTAACCATTCGGCCATCCAACCACCCTGTTAATATAAAACATACAAAACTTAAATTACATAGAAAAACAGAACATATAAAACTTAAAGAGGCATTACGTATGATTTAGACAAATCGAACTGACAGTTCTCGCTCTAATAGTTAAACAATAGATAATGAAAAGAGAATATTTTGAAAATTTCAGTCAAATTACTTCGCTCTGGGCCTAGATATTACAGAGAGAATTATAGGCTAGCCTCGATCATCATAGCTACCATTGTTATGATAATAAACAAAGTCTTGATTATCCATTTTTACGTTAAATTATCCATCACAAAACACATTTGAATCCAGAGTTGATTATGGTCTTATAAGTAGAGACTGCTGTCATGTTTGAGCTAGGATGTTACTACCCATCAGACTTCAGTTGAGAACTTACTCAAAATTGTTTGCCTTATTTTAACTAAAATATAGCCCTTTATAAAACTTTTGTTGTTTTAATGTATCAAATACATCAATAAGAAACTATGTGCAAAGTTTTGTGTTTCTGCATCAAAGATATTTCTCATAAACAGTGATTGAAAGTTGAGCAAATTCTCAACTTAAGTCTGAGAATGCTTTGTGAACTCGGGGCCTGATGCCAGAGCAGGAAAGGGAGAAAACAAAGTCATTTCTGGCATAACTATAGATCACATTCTTATTAACAATTAGTTGGCCACAACAGTCTTTAGCAGGGAAAGGAATTCTGAGAAAATCCATAACGTTAGGCAAGAAACCCTACTCCATGTGAACAACAAGCATGGAATTGAATCCATGACACTCAAATTGACAATCTCAAGCCCAGAGATATGTTTACCCTTTGTTTATCTCTGGTAAAATTTGCCGGCCATTTTGAAATAGGCAGCATTTCATTCTAACAAATCCTTCCAATCAGTAGCCATTTGGGGCGAAATGAAATGAAATGGGGTTTAACGTCCTACTGTTTTGCTCTGAACTGGGCTAATGAAGACGGGCATACGCCATACAGTGTGCTATGAGGGAAATTTTGCCCGAACAGCGGCACTACGACCTACTCTTATATCGAATTCAAACTGTCAAGGGATCTTTTACGTGCACACCAATGTGTACACGGGACCTCGGTTTTTCGTCCCATCCGAACGACTAGACAACTGTCCTTCTCGGGCCCTTTGTCCTGCATCACTGACAAGGGGGAACCACGCCGGAAAATCTGTATGAACTTTCTCGGCCAATGCAGGGATCGTACATCCGACCTCCAGACTAGCGAGCCAGCGCCTTACCCACTTACCCAGCTAAGGAACCGATTTCACGCTGATTAATAGCTGGCAAGTTTTACAAGAGATAAGCAAAGGGTAAAGTTATCTCTAGGAACGAGATTGTCAAATCGATTCGGCTCCTAGTAGTTCCATCCGTGACAGGGCCTGTGTTAATAATGAGATTATGGTATTATAAATGGATTAAGACTTGACTTACCCACTTCTGACGGAAGGGACGTCAAATTATTTTCACCAGCACCTAAATACTGGAGATTTTTTAAGAACCTGTAAAGTAAAATACCAACAGTTTTAGACGGCAACTGGTTCAATTCACTGACTTTTCAATGACAGCAGTGTAAATTAAAAGGAAAGGGAGAGAGTGAAATGGGGTTTAATGTCCACTTGATATAAACTAGGTCATTTCGGGACTAACATATGGTTCAATTTATTTCAATAATTTGCTTGTGCGTAGGGGTCTTTAGCAGTGGGAGGAAACTGCACATGCTAACCATTCGGCCATCCCCCCCCCCCACACACACACACACAAACAAATTGGAAGAATTTTGAAGTAGCACAAAGCTTGCATCTACAAATATATGAACTGGGATAAATGTTCCTAAATTGATACTAACGGTGACAATGGAATTAACAGGTGATTTTTGGTTATCAGTGGAGTGAATAGGAGAAGTTTGATTATCAATGCATGCATTTGGCATCTTTCGCTAGGTCACGTCAGTACTTACATCCGTTATAGTGACAATGGAATGAACAGGTGAATTTTGGTTATCAATCGAGTAAACAGGAGAAGTTTGGTTATCAATCATGTGTGCATTTGGCATCTTTCACTAGGTCATGACAGTACTTACATCCGTTACAGGGAATGAACAAAATATGAAAACACTTAAATCTGTTTTCACTTGATTGTAAGTCTATCAATTCAGAATATTACAGACTCACAATTCATCACTCTCTAGGACAATTACCCCCAAAATGGCTATGTTAAATATGAGTGTAACTTACCCTAAATTTCTTGGTAAACACGTTAATTGATTGGACTGTACAACCAATTTCTGTAATTCAAGTAACTGACCTATAAACAGACAACATAATAAACATTAGAATGGTGATAGGTTTATTGTAGACCTTAATCCTCTATTCTATATGTAATCAAGGAACATTAGACTGGTGACAGTTTTATTATAGACGTTAATCCTCCATTCTAAATGTAATGAGGGAACAGAAAGAGAGAGAGAGAGAGAGAGTTTATCCCCCACTCAACATGAGCTAGGTCATTTCGGGACTAACACATGGTTCAATCTTATTTCAATAATTTGCCTGTGCGTAGGGGTCTTTAGCAATGGGAGGAAACCAGAGCACTGAGAGAAAACTAAAGAGGTTGGACAGGCGACCCTACACCTTGCCACACCACACAACAGGGGAATCAAAACCACGCCAGTTGACTCAATGACAGAGCTTATGATACAACACGCACCACTAAACATTTGGCCAACCAACCGCGCGAATATTAGAACAGTGATATGTTTATTATAGACTTTAATCCTGTAATTAACATTAAAGTCTCTAAGCTTCATATGAGGGATCAAGGAATCACGTGCAAACTACAATATTATGAAAAGTGAATCTATATCCCAAAACTGGTTGTAGCACTGTAACCCAAGTATCGTTTAATCTTGTGTATCTAGCACTAATTTCTTTCACATTCGTTTAATATCAAATCTTTGTTTAAAAATTTGTAAAAACTGTTTAAAATCACCATGAATCGTTTAATTTTACTTCTGTCCAGTTTAAAGCTGACCATTCAATTTTGATAATGAGTGTCTACCTGTATCTTATTGGTAGTAATTGTGTCTAGATTTGAGTATAGAGAGAGTGACATGGCTTTAACGTCCACTCAACAAAAATTAGGTCATTTTGAGACGAACATAAGTCACTTGAACATGACAGGTCTTTAGCAGTCTGAGGACCTGGAGAAAACACAGTCCTCCTTGACACATACAAGTGGGGAATTACAATGCCACTTAACGTCCACTCGACACAAACTGGGTCATTTCGGGACTAACATATGGTTCAATTTTTTTTCAATAATACACCTGTGCGTAGGGGTCTTTTGCAGTGGGAGGAAACGGGAGGACCCAGAGAAAACTACGAGGCTGGATAGGCGACCCTACTCTTTGTCACGTACAACCGGAAAATCAAAACCACTCCAATTGACTCAATTACAGACCTTATGATACAATACACATGCGCTAAACATAAGGCCATCCAACTACCCAAACATTAGAATGGTGAGAGAGAGAGAGAGAGAGAGAGAGATGGGGTTTAATGTCCACTGACAAAAATTAGGTCATTTTGGGACTAACATATATTTCAATATTTCACTTGCACATGACAAGTGTTTAACAGTAGGAGGACCTGGAAAAAACACATGAGGTTGGACAGGCAACACTATTCCTTAGGTATAACCTTTAGTGGTACAGAAAAAGTGCATTATGATACTGACCTATTTCTGGTGGTAAAGTTTCCAATCTATTCTCTTCTAAATCTAATGTTCTTAAATTCTTTAAATTACCAATACTAGCTGGTAATCGCTATAAAATACAAAATATACAATTAACACCCAATACCTGCAAGTAATTGCTACAAAATATTTAATTAAACCTAATACTAGCCAATAGTTGCTATAAAACACAAAATAATCATTGTTTAAACAGCAGAGAGAGAGAAATGGGGTTTAATGACCACTCGACACAAATTAGGTAATTTTGGGACTAACATATTGCTCAATTTTATTTCAATAATTCGCTTGCACGTAGGGATTTTTAGCAGTGGGGCGAAACGTGAGGACCCAGAGAAAACCCACGAGGTTGGTGTTTAAATAGCATTTAGTAATTGAACACATTAATAGTGCATGTGGTGCAGGAAAAAAAAACGTAGAAAAAACTTTACGGAATTTCGGAATGAATCAAGATTTGAAAATATTTTCATGTTTTCAACTGAATAGAGAAGACAATAGAGAATAATTCTCAATTTGTATAGTACAAAAATACTTAATGGCAGTTTCTATTGCACTTTTCAACTTTGAACAAATTCATTCACTACTGACAAGAATAAACCTAGCGGAAAAGATGAATTTAAGCTACGAGTTTAAACCTTCCGACAAGTCAAACTGACAAGGGTGGTGAATTTCATAGAAAAAGGGCTGGGGCCGTCAATAGGTTGTTTTCAAAATTATTCTCGGAACTCTTATATCAGGCAAGAAGAAATCCTTTTTCTTGGAACAGGCAGAATAAATCAGCTGTTGAAAGACACTCCTCCACAACTTCCATTCTGATTATAATTATCTAGATTAAAATAGCTGTTGAAATAAACTCCCCCTGAACTTACTTTCAGATTATTATTACTCAAAATTAAAACTTCTAATTTCTCCAGTTTTTCGATATCATCTGGTATTACTGTTAGTTGATTGGTTCCTAGGTTTAACTCCACCATATTCGTCCACGTTCCTAAATCTAATAACAATAACCAAAATATAAACTACAGACAAACAACAGTTTTGACAATGACATGTTTGGCTTCCTTTGCAACCATTTTTTAAAAATGATACATATAATCAGCATATAAAATTTTTGAATTTTGTATGAAAGAAAAATAAGAAAAACCTTACCACCGAAAACATAATTGTTCCATCAGTTTTTTGGGGGGATCAAATTGGAAACAAAATTAATGACAAAATCAGAAGGATAAAAGGGTGACCAATCAAATCGTTTTTTAAAAGTTTGATAGATTTTAGACCAATGAAATTATCTTTATTACAAATAATACGACTAAATTGGTTGACCAATGAAATGATCTGTTATAAATACCTAAAGGAAGTGATGTAAGCTGGTTATCTTTCATGTTGAGTTTAGTTAAACAGTGTGCTCGCATAAAAATACCAAACGGTATGTGATTCACTTGATTGTGTTCTATATTTATAGCCTGAAATAAAAATAGATCATTTTGGGACTAACATTTGGCTAAATTTTATTTCAATAATTCGCTTGCGCGTAGAGGTCTTTAGCAGAGGGAGAAAACCAACGAGGTTGAACAGACAACCCTACTCCTTGTCACGTATAACTGGGGAATCAAAAACCACACCAGTCTTCTGCAACACTTGATAAGGTAATGAAATGAAACAGGGTTTAATTACTACTATCCGTGCTAATCCTGATAAGGTAATGAAATGGGGTTTAACATACTATCTTTGCTAATGAAGACATGCCACGTAGTGTGCTATGAGGGAAATTTCGCAATGACAGCAGAGCTATGACCTACTCTTATCTCAAATTCCAACTGTCAAGGATTAACTTAGGAGCACACTAATGTGTACACATGTTCCCATCTGAACGACTATTCATTGTTCCTTGACATGTCCTCTGTCCTACACCACTGACAAGGGGAAATCATAAGGAACTTGCTCAGCCAACACCAAAATCAAACACTGAACCTGATACAACTTGCCACTAGAATTTTCTACACTAACCACTCTAATCGAGGTATACAGCATGAAATATGGTGCTAGTGATATACAGGAGACATCATTTTACGAGCAGTCTAAACGACTTAACGCTTTTCTTTGCCAGGCCTTCGACTACTTACAAGGGAGATAATAGGCTGGAAAATCCAGAGGGACTTTCTCGGCCAACTGTAGAATACAAACCTGTTGGATAACCAGCATCTCAAGAAAATAAAAGTTATTGAGCGACCGACCCAGTGATCTAGGTTTATTCTTTAGTTTACAAGAATCATCAACTTACGTAAACAGAACAGAACTGTGAGGGACCACCAGAAGGATAAGATTGGAACGCATTCCGCGATAAAGTTATACTCGTCAAATTTACCAGACTTGACAATAACCCTTCCTGTTAAAATAAACAAAATATAATAAATATTCAAGGTGTATTCGACTGTATACACTCAAACAAATTACACAGATACACCTTTACTTTAACGGCTAAATCTATTTGTTAAGGCCAGCTCAATTTTTGTCAAGGCCTCTGAGATGTAAATAAGGTTAGGGCACGTGATTGTTGGCAAGATTGTAGGTTAGGGTTAGGGTAAGCATTAGGGCTAGTTCCAGGGTTAGTGATCGGGTTGGGATTAGCACTAGCGCTGTTCACATCTCTTGACCATAAGTTGGCCTTATCAAATAGATCCAACCTACTTTGACATTAGTCTCTATCATCCAGAAAAATATTCTACGAATATTAGTCTGGATTGCTTGTCAACATTTGAGAAAAATTGGCTAGACAATTCGGTCTATTACATTGTTATATTCAACGTCTAAGGTAGGTAACTCCTTTTAAAACAAGATGTTTACGCCCATGAAATTAATTTAAGAATGTCATTTCAAAAAAATATCCATTTGATTTGCATGTAAGTTCAATATCTAACACTCTTAATTTTTTATTGTAAAATTTCTCTCTTCATGGGCCATATCTATACTTTGAAAATTAATCCTAATTTGTCGTCACGATTCATGTTTGTTTATATTAATGCAAGAATTATGGGATTTATTGTGCGAAGGGGCGTAACTCTTACTTTACTTGGCTAAAGAGACTGGATAATCAACCACATTAAAAACCAAACTCCCGGTTACGCATGGGCAATGGACTTTCCGTCAAATATTGACAACCTTCCCAGACCCTCCCTATGTTGAAGACTAGGAGGTTCTGGGGACCAATTCCTTTTAGTCATTCTGGTTACTCTTTTTAAAACATCTCTGTGTGTCAGTTCCATGTTCCGGACAATATCCAATTTTTCACGGCATATTCCGTGCTAAAAACTAACAATAAATCATTTAATATTTAATTAAGAAAGGAAAATAAAAATATCAACGGTAGCAAAACTTGTCTTGGATTCAGTCGAATTAAAAATATCAGAGAAAATGATAGGTTCTGCTATTGACCTCGATTTTTTTGTGCCATCCATACAACTGGGCATATTCAAACAACTTGGTCAGTCCTGAAGAAGCCACCTCTTACAAGTGAAGATCAAGCTTGACACATCTGTCGTTACCTCTCAGCCCATAATGGGATTTGAGAGTTCCATGTTTACATATGGTGTAATGATGATAACTTACGGGTAATTGAGATATGTTATTTGACTCCACGTTAAATTCATCCATGTTAACACAATTAGCCAGTGATTTGGGTATACTGCTAACACGATTATACCTGTCAAAAATATAAAACAATCACACATTTATTTTCTATAGTTGAGCGGACAACACGGGGGAGAATTCTGCCTGGGCAGCAACTGAATTAGCCAGTGATTTGGGTATATTGCTAACACGATTATACCTGTCAAAAATATAAAATAATTACACATTTATTTTCTACTGTTGAGCGTATACAGGGGAGAATTTTGCCTGGGCAGCAACTGAATTCCAACTGTCTTTTTCTGTAAATTGTGTAATAGTTTCCTATATTATCTGAATAGTCTTGATAATGTTTCCTTGTCAGTCTACATACAACTTGTCCCTTAATTACGACTTCAAGCGGCATTAGGTAAGATTAGATAAAGTGCTTACAGTTCTCGCTATAAAAGTTGAAAGAGATGAAAAGAGAATATGCTGAAAATTACTTCACTGAGGCTACTAGATATTGGCGATACAATTATAGGGTAGCCTCGATTGCCATTATTACTATTGTTACGATAATAAACTATATATTGATTATTCATTTTTACGATAAAGCTTCAACCACAAAATGTATTTAAATCTACTAAATATCGCAGGCATCTGATGCCATCGAGAGTTGATTATGGCCTGGATAAGTTAAATAATGTCTAATTAATAATTTAGATAACATTTCAGGCCTAAAGAAAGACCTGCAATTGGCAGATATAGCTCTTGCATAATGTATGTTTAAATGGGTTTTTATCTCTTCTCTGGGTCATAAGCATTTCAAGGAAAAACATAGACCGACATGTTGAAAATCAGTAAACTTCTTCATTTTGTAACAATTATTGTAGCCTCTATGGTGCTAAAAATAAATGTGAATGACAGACATTGTGACAGCAATATACCACCACGGTAAAATGTGGGAGTATACAAAGAAAATAACACGCATATATACCTTAAACCAAGTCGAGTTATTTGTCGTAGATTACCAATGGATTCTGGGATATCTAACAACTCATTATGCTGTAGATCTAAAGAATTTAAATTCACACAATTTCCTATTTCTGAAAAACACCAAATAACATACACAATATTTTATTTTTTTGTGTATATAATTTGTATATATAACTTTATTTGGAAACAGTAGAAAATTTGACCAATGACTTGTCTTACATTTTGCTGTTTTTTACCCTCTTTTAATATACTGAATGAGAATTATGCAAGATATATAGGCTTTAAACAAATTAGGACTATATTTTGGGCATCAAGGGAAGAGGGGACGTACAGACGTTTTTCATGCAGTGTCGAATTTACAGAGCCAACAAAAAATGGACGCCTTAATCATACAAGTAAATACAAGAAAACAGCTCTTCTAATTGGTTTTATTTTGAATTAAATATATAGGGGCACCATATTGATGTTAATACATTGGATTTAACATTCACTGGACACAGACTGGGTTATTTTGGTACGAACACCTGCCTTAATTTTATTTTAATAATTCACCGAGGGTTGCACATGAGGGTCTGGGAGGAAACCAGTGGACCCTGAAAACTCTATTGTAACTCTTAAATGATAAAATTGTAAACTTTTAACACAAGATTGGAAGACGTCCTCAGACTTACCATCTGGTAGGTGTTCAAGGTGATTATGGGATACATCAAATGTCAAGAGGTTAATTAATTTGCCGATTCCTGTCGGTAATTCCTTGATCTTATTCTCACGTAAACTAAATTTGGTTAATTTCTGAAAGTAAAAAAATAAAGAGTTGATGTTAAATATTCTAGAAAATCAAAATACAGTAAATTTCATTAATAACATTGTCAACCATACATGTATCATCCTGTTGATTGCTCAAGAAATAACATTGTCAATCATATCATCTTTTTAATTGGTCAATTTCTGGTTTCCTGGGAAACAGTTTCATAAAACACAACCACATAACGCAGGAAGAAGATGACTCGCCCTTTCTATTCACGGCAGTAAATTTGAACACCATGTTTTCTAATGGGACCTTTTTTTATGTTTTTTCGCATTTTTTTTCATTACTTATTCATACGTAAATAACGTAATTAAATCACCCTGTCCATAACCTCAATGGGCCTTATGAGAGTGAGAGAGAAATGGGGTTTAACGTCCACTCGACACAAACTAGGTCATTTCGGGACTAACATATGGTTTAATTTTATTTCAATAATTAGCTTCCGCATAGGGGTCTTTAGCAGTGGGAGGAAACCGGAGAAAACCCACGAGGTTGGACAGGCGACCCTACTCCTTGTCACGTACAACCGGGGATTCGAAACCACGCCAGTCGACTCAATGACAGAAGTTATGATACAGCGTGCGCACGCTAACCATTCATCCATCCAACCCCCCAATGGGCATTGTGTATTGGACGTTAAATTTGTAATAACAATGTTGTTCATTATGACTCATGGCATTATACACGTCTAGTTTATCATGTATCAAAATTTTATTTGTCTTCCTTATTATCGAACATTAAGTGCTACCATTTTTATCCAAACAATTCCTTCCTGGTAACTTTACAAAAGTAAATTACCCCCACCCAGTTTTGTTGAGAAATTTTAGTTTTCACTTCCACACCAGAATATAACAATTTTGACTTGAATTACTTCCTTTATAAATTCCGATTATATTTTAAAATTATAATTGAACAAAAAATTTTAGGCCCAGTTTGGGAATACTTGGTCTGTATCAATCTTTTGATGATTAATTTTTGTTAAATCTGGTTCGTAGATGTGTAATTTATCGTGATGTATAAAACAATCAAGTGAGTTAGCAAAGTTACCCCTCTATTTGGGGGGTTGGATGGTCTAGTAAATTAAAGCATGCGCATGAAATCACAAGGTCTGTCATTGAGTCAGGTGGCAAGGAGTAGGATTGCCTGACCAACCTTGCAGGTTTTCACCGGGTCCTGCGGTTTCCTCCTAAGTCCTACTGCTAAAGACCGGGCTGGGCTAATAAAGACAGGTGTACACCATGCAATGTGCTATCACTGCTGGGTGCATAGTGTGTAGAACCTATCTCTAAGTATTGACTAACTGGCCTATGTGTTAGAATATCTATATATGAAGTAGAAAGGGTTCATTATATGGGAGAAATTGACGAAAGCGTGACTAATTAAGAAACCGTCACTATTTGAGGCCTACGTCACTATCAGAGTGAAACCGCCAGTTATCTTTGATGTGCGTCAGTAACTGGACCTGACGCCAGTAGAACGTGAAATCGTTAACTATATAAATTTCTGGCGAGTATTGTGACGGTTTCTTAATTAGTCACGCTTTTGTCAATTTCTCCCGCATGCGCCTGACTAGTGATATGATCGGCTTAACTTACGTTTGTTTAATTACTCACGTTATTTTTACATACTGGCGCAAGTAAGGAATACTAACCAATTGACTTAAATACTCACCTTTTGATTATTACTGACCATTTATAGGAATACTGACGTACGGTACAAATACTGACGGGTTTTAGCGACTACTGACAACACGTATATTTCTCACAAATTCCCATGAATAGTAACCACAATGAACCCTTTCTACTTCATATATAGATATTCTAACACATAGGCCAGTTAATCAATACTTAGAGATAGGTTCTACACACTATGCATGTTACCGTGTATACAGGAAATTTTTGTATGGGACATTGGTTTTTCATCCCATCCAAATGACTAGAAACTATCCTTACCAGGCTCTCCATAAAGTTATAAACAAGCCTTGGACAGAAGGCACCTGTCAGACTTTGTCAGGCACAATTTATCACACAACGTAATTATTATAACAAAAACGTGTGACAATCTCTGACAGGTGTCTGCTATCCAGGTTGTATGCTGTGTGTACTGGACAGGCTTGATTATAAGAGATAAGTAATAGGTTTTACTTACAGTTAAATTACTGATTTCTTCCTCTACTTGTCGTATTCTATTGAAGCGTAGAAATAAAGTTGTTAACGACGTCAACTGATAAACTACTGGTGGTATCTATAACAACAAAATACAAATATATAACAACAAAAAACAATTATATCAACATACAAAATGAAATGAAATGGGGTTTAATGTCCGATTTCATTTCTCCCGTCGACCGTGCTAATGAAGACAGGCATACACAATGCAATGTGCTATGATGGAAGTGCTACCTACTCATTTCTGAAATGCAACTACTCAGGGTTCTTTGACATACATGCTCATCCGATTGACTAGATACTGTTCTTGCTAGGCCCTCTGTCCGGCACCACTGACATGGGGAAACCACACTGGAAATACCATGATGAAGTCTCTAGGCCAATACAGGGATTGATCCTGGGATCTTTTGGTTAGTTAACCCACACCTTACTCATTGATCTATAACCAATCTCTTCACTGATCTATAACCAATCGCTTTACTGATTAATAACCAATCACTTCACTGATCTATAAACAATCGTTTCACTGATCAATAACCAATCACTTCAATCTTAACCCGCAATATTCCAGACAAACAGGGGATACTCGATTGAAAGTTCCAGAATTTAATTCTTTCAATCACAAAAATAGAGACAATTGAGTGAAAAAGTAGATTTTGCGCTACAATGCATGTGTCGACCATATAAACAAATTTTTCAACCAACCATGACAGCTGAAACTTGTTAATTGTGTTTAATTACGTCACGATTCTACAGGATGTGCAGGATGTTCCAGGCTTACAATTGAGCATTCCCATAGACACCAACTTACCTCTTGTAATTTATTGTGGCGGAGATCTAGAACCCGTAACTGTGTAAGATTTTTTAACGTTTCTGGTAAACTTGTGATGGAGTTTTCACTTAACGCCAAAGTCTGTAAATTCTTCAGATGTCCGATTTCCACGGGAAGAGACGTTAACCGGTTGCCATATAAATAAAACTCTACTAACTGGTGTAACTAAAATCAAAGAGAGAGAGAGAAATTGGGTTTAACGTCCACTCGACACAAACTAGGTCATTTCGGGACTAACACATGGTTTTAATTTTATTTCAATAATTCGCTTGCGCGTAGGGGTCTTTAGCAGTGGGAGGAAACCGGAGGACCCGGAGAAAACCCATGAGGTTGGACAGGCGACCCTACTCCTTGTCACGTACAACCGGGGATTCGAAACCACGCCAGTTGACTCAATGTCAGGCTTTATGATACAGCACGCAAGTGCTAACCATTCGGCCATCCAACTCCCCTAAAATCAAAGAAAACAAGCCAACAGTGAGGCTGATGTCCCCCGCCGAAATAGGAAAATAATTAGAGGACACATATAAATTTATCACAAATTATCTTTTACAAAGTATTGAACAATCAAACAGTATATCTTTTCTTTACTTATAGTCTAAGCATACAATGTTTTTGATGGAATAATTATAGCATATTAAGGGGAAAACATGCTCTATGCCTACAGATCTAGAGTTTGGTTGTATCAACGGGTCTATTTTCCATCTTGCTGCAAGTTGTGCAAAGTTCACTGTTTTCTTTCTGTCATTAAATGTCAATTCATTATTGCATACTACATATTTAATTAATTTATAATAGTTTCTTTTTCAATTTGTTTTTTCTGCTTACCATAAGCGGAACGGACAGACAGACAAACAGACAGACGGACGAACCCATTTTAATAGTTCCCTGCTTTCTTCGAAAGGCGGGGGACAATCAAAGTAGGAGAGTTATTGTTTTCCAAAGTCTCGACCAATCAAATTGCGTATCGCTCTGCTTACCCTGAGCAGAAAATGCTCATTATCAAACTTAGTCAAGGTATTACTGTAATGAAACTATACACCAAGTTTCATCAATCTCACTTAATTAGAACTAAAGTTATCGTGTCCCAAAGCATCAACCAATCAAATTGCTTATCTCTGCTTACCCTAAGCGGAAAATGCTCATCTTCGAACTCCATCAAGGCATTGACCTAATCAACACATACACCAAGTTTGAACATTCTAGCTCAATTAGGAAGAGAGTTATCGTGCCCCAAAGTATCAACCAATCAAATTGCTTATCTCTGCTTACCCTAAGCGGAAAATGCTCATCTTCGAACTCCATCAAGGCATTGACCTAATAAACACATACACCAAGTTTGAACATTCTAGCTCAATCAAAAGTTATCGTGTCCCAAAGCATCAACCAATCAAATTGCTTATCTCTGCTTACCCTAAGCGGAAAATGCTCATCTTCGAACTCCATCAAGGCATTGACCTAATCAACACATACACTAAGTTTAAACATTCTAGCCCAATTAGGAAGAGAGTTATCGTGTCCCAAAGCATCAACCAATCAAATTGCTTATCTCTGCTTACCCTAAGCGGAAAATGCTCATCTTCGAACTCCATCAAGGCATTGACCTAATAAACACATACACCAAGTTTGAACATTCTAGCTCAATTAGGAAGAGAGTTATTGTGTCCCAAAAAGTGTGACGGACAGACAGACGGACAGACAGAAGGACAGACAGACGGACAGACAGACAGACAGACAGACAGACAGACAGACGGACGAACCCATTTTAATAGTCCCCTGCTTTCTTCGAAAGGCGGGGGACAATAAAACATCAATTGATTAACAATTTGGAACTAACATAGGCCTCGTGTACAATTTTATTTCAATATGTAGGGTCTTTCATAGTGGAAGGAAACCAAAGGACCCAGATAAAACTCACAAGGCTAGACAGGCGACCCTACTGCTCATCACTTACAAGCTTTGGCTTGAAACCCCATCAGTTGACTCAATGACACATCTTAAGACCTAAAGCGCATGAGTTAGGCAAAGAAACATATACCAGCCACCAGTTACATGCAGGTTGCCTGAGCTGTTCTCAACTAAACAACTCATAAATAGTTCGAACAAAATTGATCATATATAAAGTCTCTAAGGAGGTAACACAGTTATGTAACCAAGGAGAATAACACTTGAAGTTACTATTGACCATTGTTGAGAATCAATAGGATTCTTCCTTTCAACAGTACAGAAACGCGATATATCTCATTTTTAATCGCCCATAGACATCTGATCCGTAACTCATTTAAATACTAGAAAATCAAGGCCAAAATGGAATCTAATTGTTTTGGTTCTAATCTCGTACTAATTTTGTAATGTATTTAATATAAAGGAAAATGTTTATTGTTAACCTGTTATTTAAGGTAAACACACTTACCTCTCTAACTGAGCTATTGAGCGAAGAAATCTACAAAAGAACAAAATATTAATCTGATTTGTTTTCTTCTCTGTAAATACACACTGATATATTTGATAATTAAGTGGTCAACATGGTTGATTTTGTTCTTATAATGGCCTTTATCATGTTGCTATTGCTAGGTCTTGTTTTGCCAGTGGCAGCACTAAGTTTATAAAAGTTGCTTTATTTTTATAGCTACTACTTAAAAATAGGACAACTACCTTGTACATATATTCATATGAAAAAAAATGTTACAGCACCCACAGACCAGCCCAGTGGGTGCTTTAAATAACACCTAATGCAGTGTCTCAGTACATAAGTGTATACCTACCAGATACTTACTGAGCCACATTGTCTAAGTAGGTAAGACGCTGGCTCGCTAGTCTGGAGGTCGCATGTTTGATCCCTGCATTGGCCAAGTGGTTTCCCCTTGTCAGTGGTGCAGGACGAAAGGCCTGATAAGAACAACCGTCTAGTCATTCAAATGGGACAAAAACTGGCATGCATGTAAAAGATCCCTTTCCAGTTGTAATTCGATATAAGAGTAGGCCAGAGTGCCACTGCCCGGGCAAAATATCCCTTATAGCACACTCTATGGTGTATGCCCTTCTTCATTATCCAAGTCAGAGCAGAACGGTAGGATGTTAAACCCCATTTCATTTCATTTCAAGTACTGAGATCTAATCCTGTGTTTCCTTACCTGAGATTTACTGAGATCTAATCGAGGGGCTCCTTCTTCCTTACATTTCTTAAACTCTTTAGTCACATCCTGTTGAGATAAAAAAAATTACAAGATAAGATGAGAGAAAAGAGGTTTAACATCCACTGGTTTGTGAGTACATGTTCGATTTGGTATAGTTTTATGTCCTTAAAATCCTTAAAGATATTACGTAAAGAGATAAGTTTTGCAATCATCTCATCCTAACATATTTGAGATTATTTCTATATTATCAATATAATTAGGAATGGTAAAATCTTTCAGAATGAAAGAGAGAATAGGCTTAACATCCACTAAACACATTGTTTGTCAAGCTAGATTTTTTTCAAGACTATCATTTGGTATTTATAGTACTTTGTTAATTTGTCTATCAGAAGGAATTTGAAGGAGTTCAAGGAAACCAACGCTAATAGGCAAGCATCCCTACTCCTTGATCCAGTTTCACAAAGCATTCTCAGACTTAAGTTAAGAATTTACTCAACTTTCAATCAGTGCTTACGCGAAATATCTTTGATCCAGCAACAACAAAATTTGCACATAATGTCTGGTGCATTTGATACATCATAACAACAACAGTTTTATAAAGGGCTATATGTTAGTTAAAATAAAGCAAACAATTTTGATTAAATTCTTAACTAAAGTCTAAGAATGTTTTGTGAAACCGGACCCTTGTCATGTAGCCTACAAGCCTGGGATATCAACCATGACATCTGATTCAATGACATGATAGACCACTCGGCCAACCTACCCTACCTTTCAGATTGATGAAGATATTAAATAAATATATACTACTCACCAGATCAGCTTTAACAGACTGTCGACCTGGTACTGTTTGTTTAGCTTTATGTCCAGCTTGAGTTACTACCGTTACTTGTTTTTTAGAATTAGCTGGATCCACCTGTATTGATCCTTGACTTGCCTTCTTGGGCTGAAAAAGTAAAACATTTACATCAACATTCATAATACTGGTCTAGTGTAAACGATGTTCACAACATTACTATAACTGTTTATCACAGTCACATAAACAAACTTTTATGTTATGATTGATTGTAAGTGATAAGTCCACTCGATATCATTTACAAAACATCTTTTGGACTTTGGAGTTTGGACACTGTATAGAATCAACTGTGTTTAAAGTTTACCCTGTGAGACAGGGAATCCCACCGGGTCTAAACACTGACTGTGCATTGATCTCTTGTGGACAGTTATTTAACGGCACTTTATGAAATTTATTACAGGAACATTCTTTAGAACAATTCCAAAGCATTAACAGAGTTGTTGATGACAGGGATCAAGAAGTTCATGACTGCAACTTGATGAATCTTGCTGCGTTCCACAGAGTTTTCTATACAGAGTCCAACTTACGTAAGTCACCTGATCTGGAAATAACGAGTGTAGTTGTATTTGACAAATTATTAATAAAACACTGAAAACAAACATGATTTCTTTCATGTATACCATGTTACTTAAAATAATAAGAAATAAATGGACCATATACATGTAATTGTGTCATAGATAATGATAATAAATATGTCAATTTCTTTAGTGCCAAACCTCCACAAAAATTATTGTGCTCGAAGCGCTTGACAAAACATTTTATAAAACCTGCAAACACCGCATCTCTCCGATATTTCTTTCAGTAAAACAACTTATAAATAAGGAGACTGGCCAATATCTGTCGTGTTTCCCCCACCATTAATGTGATAAATGGTGGAGATCCGTGTGTATTTATTGAAGCAGGAACTTTTCATTGAAATTCTGGGAATATCTGCCAGTAATGTAAATCCAGTGATCTAGTTGACTTTAATTACAAAGTGACCTTATTACACTTGAAGTGGCAGTTCCAGGTACACTCATGGAAAAAAGTGGGTTTAAAGAAACTGGACACAAATATGTTGAGAAATAGCCCAGACACATGTAGCTTGTCAAAAAGTTTCAGTTCAAAATACCGAGCCATTTGGAAGTAATCAAAATATAGGCCTATCATTTATAACTGATGAAAGTATGTACCAATACCGGTAGAAAAGACTATACAGGCACACTGAACACATGGAATTTGGGGACTTGTCAGGCACATGGAATATACATGTAGGCCTAACATGGAATTTAGGGACTTGTTAGGCACAAGGAATTACATGTAACATGGAATTTGGGGACTTGTCATGAAAATATCTGTGGAAAGTATTAAGTAAAACACCTCCTTAGATAGTTGTACATACATGTGCATGCAGTTGCACAGGACAGAGAAAAGAGCTAACAATGAAACAATCATCCACGATTTTTCTTTGATTTACAGGTGGGGGGGGGGGTGGATTTAATGTTAGATTATAACTAATAACTTCCATAATGGAGTCAATTGGCATGGTTTTGATTTGTCGCATGTACGTGACAAGGAGCAGGGTTGTCTGGGTTTTAAAATTAAATTGAACAATCTTCTGGTCCCGTTTCTCTCTCTTTCTCCCTTTGATTTCTTCCAATATATCTTGAACGGCTCCTTTAACGAAATTACCAATTGAAATCTGTTTTAACTGGTGACCTTGTAGATTATGTACAGTACATGTTCCGTAATATCCCACTTGAAAACTCAATGAATTCAGGGCAGTGAATCACAAAGGAAACCAGGATGTAATTACCAGCAATATTATTGTATCATCAACTATCTACATTATACAATTACTACATAATAGCATGTACAATGTATGTATAAATTGTCTCATCTTAGAGAGAGAGAGAGAGAGAGAGAGAGAGAGAGAGAGAGAGCAATTAACCAGGTCATTTCGTACTAACATGATTTAATTTTATTTCAAGCGGGGAATCGAAACCACACCATTTGACTCAATGACAGACCTAATACATTAACCCAATAGGCCACCCAACTCCCCTTATCATACATGTATTTGTATATATGTTCATGGATCATATAATCATATAATAGCACATATATCAAAATATTCCACGTTAACCGTACTACTTGTTTGATCTTAAAGAGATTTTATCACTCTGGTCATAAAAAAAAATTTATGTCATATATCTTATACAGGTACCTCTTCCCTCCTGTCTTGTCCAGGGAACCTTGTCTGCGCGCGCCTGTGATTAAGAAGAAGTACTGGTAGTAGCGACAAAGAAGTGACAAAGAAGTGACTAAGAAGTGGCCAAGAAGTGCACACAGAGTGTTGTTGTCAGTATTCAAAATAACCTTCCTTTAGGCTCATAATCATATAATTATCTACATGTAAAATCCAAGGCCTGGCTTATTTGTATTGTTGGCACTTTCTGCATTATACTTTTTTTTGTAATTATGAAGGCATCTGGCACTACTGCCAGGTACATGAAACTTTGGTATTTTGAAATGTGGGTGCTGTTCTGTATATTTGTTGAGTGTACAGTGACTGACTACTACTCTGTTAATAACTCATATTGTTCAGTCCGATAGTTTAGTGCTGCACTGTTCAATATTAACATACATGTACATGTACTGTTTACATATTTCTAAAAGCGTATCTAAACACCTTGTTCTGTCCTTGTAAACCACCCGTCTTCATTAGCCCAGGTTAGGAGCAGAACAGTGGGACGTTAAAACCCATTTCATTTCATTTCATTTCCTTGTAAACCACTAAAAACAATGTAGGACACCAAGGTATTAAAATTCCTCCTTCAGAAAAAGTGGGCTGTCGTGCACGAAAAAGATCACGGAATCGGAAACACCCAGACCACATATTCATTGAGTTTATGTGAAGAACTGGAGGCATGCAGTACATCAAAGTATTAATACATATACCGTAGTGTTGTGACTGAGGGTGCAGGTCGTTTTGGGATGAAACGACCCTGGATGAAATTGTTTTGGGATGAAACAACCCTGGACAAAATGGTTTTGGGATTAAACAACCCGGGGTGAAATTTCTTTGGGATGAAACGACCTTCTCTCATGACAGATACTTACCCTGTCCTTATCTTTAAATCCTAAAGTTTCAAGGTTAGGTAAATCATCCTCTGGTTTTAGTCCATACGTCGATGCAGCTCCATGACGAATTGTATCCTGATCTGGAGATTCTGATCCAGAGGCATATGCACCAGACGTAGAGTTGCCAATAGAAACAACGCTCTTTCCTGTGTAATCAGCCAATCGCTCAGCAGCAGCTGAATTCTCTCGTGGTTTCGGTTTTCGCGACATTTTTCCGTAATATTTATTTATGTACCGTATACATGAAAAGTTTTATCTCAATTATACAAGTAGTCTGTCACTGTAATAATAATCGGACACCTTTTTTAATTTATAAATTATATCCTCAAAACAGAAAACAAATGAGTCTGTTGTCAATTCACCTCACGAAAAATTAACAATTGTCGATATGGATGGTGTCGTGTTCGGTTTATTTAACTTAAATATGATGTCTCATTGCAATTAAATTTGAGGAATCGCCCATAGAAGTTGAAATATGATATTCGATTCAGAGATTGCAAAATGATCAAAATCCAACCACCTCTATCCAGTTCATAAAACTGTTGAATAATATTTTTGACCTTTTCAGTGATTAATGAAAGTATGCCATGTATAGTATTTCACACATAGCTGTAACAGTCTAGTCTGTGAAAGTATTAATATTAATAATATATCAGGATATCATCAACTGACAAGTTTCCTGATTTAGGGATGTCAGTGTAGCTTGGAACCTGTCACTGCTGACCACACTGCGGTCTTCTGAAGGATATTATAATGTGACTTGCTATAATAAATAACACAATAATAACAAGAGTCAATGAACTATCTGTGAAGCTCAAGTTACTATGATTTGTTATGGTTGTAGAGTTTAACTATTTGTATCTAAGATCTATAGTAAAACAAAGTCACATGGTTGATTGTAATTTAAGATAATTAATCATAACTGGATCACATGATTATACTATTTTATCTTTCTATATTATTATAGTAGTAATATTAGATGACAACATTGACTGGTCATGTTCTAACCACATGCCATGAAAAGAAAACAGTTATATCATAAACACTTTGCATGACATCCAAAAATCATCATTGACAACCGTTCGGCACAATTTTAATAATATATTAGACCATAATATTATAAATTATATCCCCGTGTTCTGGTACATCCATTAATTTTTCACTGTCTTCCCAAATATTCCACATTTTTTCTATGATATCATTTACTATCGCATATTATCTGGCGTATTGTTGAGAACGAGGCAGAGTCTGACACTGTTCTGTACGTCAGGATATCAGCTTCATTCAAAGCTAAATTCTTGAGTTATGCGTCAAACCAAAAATTTCTAATGGACTTTCTTCGTTGCGGGGATATTTTCGACAGTTGGCTATCGTCCTAAATGCTGGAATATTCCATGCACAATAGAAAACTGGATGAAATATTCGCCTATTTGCTGTAAAAATTGCTCCTTATTTTCTTACAAATAGATGCGCAGTAAGATGCGCGGTAATATTGTATAGGAAGTGACGTCAATCTCCCAAACTTGTTAATAACTAGGTCAAATATTGTCCTACAATTTTAACGCTATATTTTTTTTTATTTTGTTTGCTAACAAATTCGCAGCTGCAGATAACTGTACAATTACAACAATTTCTTTATACTGCGCACCTTAAACTTTGTTATCTTTGCATTGCTTTAATCTATTCTGATAACTTTTATCTGGTTATCGGAATAAATTCCATCCTTATTATAATATATCATGTGATATACATTGGAGCATTTATCAAAGTCCATTTTTGCATTTTTTTATAATCAAGAAATGTCTTCTTTAAAAGAAAAAAAAAAAAAAAAGAATTATTATCTTTAAACAAATTATGATAGCTTATTAATCGAGAAAACGGGCACCTGTTCATGAATTACCTCCCCTTGATTTCGTTGACGGCGCTCGTTTCCAACTTCCTTTTCCGCTATACCATTTTGACTGAGGGTAAATATTGAGAAATGTGCAATGAAATCTAATATATATCGTGATTAATTAAAAACATCAATGAGTAAATAAAATAAAAACCAACCCCTCTATAACCCTTATCATATTCTAAATACCAAACTATCATCGAAGTCCTTTTAAAAGATGGAATTTCGCATTTAAAGTACACGAGGGTTCACCTGGGATCTTTGAAGTGTTGCTAGTGAACCAATGTAATTGTAATAGGGATAAAAATATTACTATAAATGAATTGTATTAGAACATTTTAAAATTTAATGAAATCTAAATATCTCAGAACTTGCCTTTCATAATTTAATGGCAAAGAATTTGCGCTATCGTCCTCCACGTTATACTTTTATAGACATTACTACAGCCAAAACGGACGCTTTCGTTCCGAACAGAAGTTACCACAACCAGTATCGTTGGGAGTCAGAAATTATACAACTTTTCAAAGATTTCTGGTCTAGTTTTTCGCTGTTAACGTAACATAGAATTGTTGAGTGGCATTGTCGCCTTGGAAGTTGGATTGCCACACATAACTTGTTCATTTGACAATCATTTGCAGTGGACACAAAAATGTCAATTGTTCAATTCATCAAGGGTGTGGGGGGGGGGAGGGTTAGGTTGCAGAATGGTTAAAGCGTGTGCGGTCTGTCATTGAGTCAGTTAGTGTGGTTTCGATTCCCAGCTACTAGCTAGTACATGACTTAGTGGGTTTTCTCTGATTTCCTCCCACTGCTACGGGCAAGCAAATTAATGAAAGAGTTGTTAGTTGACCATGTGTTGGACCAGAAATGGCCAGGTTTGTGTCTAGTGGTAGGGGTTTCAGGTCACGTGACTTTAGCGTGAAATCGGACAGCCAGCGGCTGAAATATAGCCCACTTCAATCTACGTTTCTGATTTACTATTTTATGTAAATGCATTAGTAGCAATTGAATTGCAATAGTTTAATATCAATCTCAATATCTGCAAAGATTCAGGCTAAAAAATTATCGAAATGTAAGCGAAATTACCGTTTGTTTACATGAGACGCTTGCGGGAAAATACCGCTCTGACGTCACGCGGCCTGAGATTTTCCATTGCTACGACTCACTTCATTAGTGAATCCGCAGCTTAGTTACCGGATAATTTTGATATAGAACCAATCAAACGATAGATAACACAGGGATGTGCCCAGAAAAATATTCATGCCGGGTGGTAATCTTCGGCAGAAAATTATCGGGTTTTTTTGATCTAAAATGCGCATTTTCACGAGTCTAGGGGTCAAAATTCACGATGGCACCGCACCGTAGTATTTAGTGAAATTACCGTTGAAAATAAATAAGAACTACGGGCGGCATCTTTAGCCGTGGTAATTTATTTAAGAATGTGACGACGGCAATTTGCCAATGTTGACACTGAAACCACCATTGTATACCTGCGTAATCCACGGCATAATTGAAAATAGGAATTTATTAATTATTGTTTTGTTTCTTTCCTCAGTTCTCGTGACTATTTTTCTATCGAAAACACAAGTCGGCATTTGTTCAGTCGTACCATGGAATGTATACGGTCCATTGTCGTCATACGCTTACTCAAATGGTTGAAAGTCAGGTAGCACTAGCAGCCAATATTGTAACAATTATGAATTTCACACTGACCATCCACGCATGTTTTCACCTGTTTGTCACTAGTTTATAGCATTATGAAGTATTTATATCTAAATAAATAAAACACGTATTCCCCCAAGTCATCTGACCTATTTCTACCGTAACTCACATGCTGGTGAATGGAATGGAGATGCACACGGTTCGTTGACTGGTTTATTTAATCATTTAAAAAGTTCAAAACAATTTCCAGAAATAACGGCTATGAATAATTTACTGGAAAATATGATCAAATCAAATAATTAGGTCGGGAAAATATATCATATGAATTAATATAATATAATTTTTAGACGGGACGTTAGAAAGGAATTCCAGGGGGCGTTACATGTCCACCGCACGAAGTTGATGTAATATAATGTCATGCACATGTGTGAAGTCGTCTTTTGATAATCAAATTACAGTATTATTACGGATATTTTATAATCGGAATTCAACACCTCAACGGCGAAGTATTCATTTAAAACGCAAGTTTGGTACCATGATACTTATACTTGGTGGAATTTACGTGGATACGAATTGTAGAATTGCACGAATCTATAAAAATAGTTTAAATAGCAAAAATAGTCATCTGCTAGTGCTATTTTTAAACAATAACGGTGCTGTAGGCTAGTTTAACCAGTCATGCTAGCTTAGTAGTTACATCGCACTGATGTGACCAGTTAAAAAGAGTCTAAATATCAGATAACTGTGCGCGTCAAATAAGAAATCGAAAGTAATATATTTCGTCGAAAACGAACGTTATATTTAGATGTCTATGATACAAGGTCAGTTTGACGCGAGTCAAAATAATTTATTCAATTTATGAGGTTAAAAGCAACAAATAAAAATGCTTTTACCAATTTAGATTATCTTTCTTTACAAGAAAATGGAGGTGGGCGGAAATCTGCGTCAAGATATTTTTGCCGGGCGGACAATATTGGTGCCGGCCGGTGCCGCCCGGTAATTGTAATAGTAGGCACATCCCTGATTACATTTTTGTGGTTATTATGGTTGTTGATACCACGTGATCGGACAAGTAGACCCGTAGAAAATGGGATTTATCTGTTTTGATGACTGAAAATTGCCAAATTTCGACTAAATATAAAAAAACTTTCTTGAGGTATCATCCAGATTATAAATATTTGACATATTATCATTCAAATTATTACGATTTTAATAAATTTTAGCTGACAATAATTTAAAATTGGTACTAGCGATTCTGAAGGGAAAATACCGCTTATGACGTCACTCTAATATGACTGAAAAGCACTTATTTTGGTGCCATGCCACGCATTGACTGGTATAGAGCATTTTGATTACATTATTGACGTCGATCTCGGATTTTAAAATTCCATAACTTTGGATCTAATTAGAATATTTTGATGAAATAAAAAAAATTGGGTAGCATTTTATGTATATTTTCACAAAATATTTTAAAAAAAATTTTTTCTGTCATTTGAAACTTTGACCTGAAACCCCTACTAGTGGAAGTTAAATCCCATCTTTCTCCCAATTCATCAAACTGTTGTAAATCAATTATTACATCTTAATTTTTATTTGTGAACGAAGTGACAAGACCAGGATTAGTCAGGAAAAAAAATTCATGCCGGGCGGTAATCTTGGGCAGGTGGTGCACACCCCCTCCCCTCCTTAATAGCAGGAGGAGTTGAGTGGGGAGAAAGTTATTTTTCCGATCGAAAAAGGGCGATTTCGTTTTTTTCGTGACATTTCTTGGCGCAGTTTTGCTATTTTCTTTGCTCAAGTTTTTATGAGAAATGGAATTTGTTTTCCATTGAGAGAATCCATACTATGAATAAGAATTACAGAGCTTTACAATAATGAAATATTATAAAGATCCAGTCTGATGTCTGAACATGTTTTGGATCACTGTGCAAAATAGCACACACTGCCAGGAAGATAACTGGTTTACTAGCCATACTCTTCTACAATGGTGCAGTGCGGTAAACAAACTAGACTTTTTTAACCAGTCATGTTAGTTAATTAAATCGCACTGATATGACTGGTTAAAAGAGTCTACATATCAGTTAGATAGCCTTATTATTTTAATGGGGGGGGGGGGGGTTGAATGGCCGAATGGTTAGCACGTTTGCGTTGTATCATAAGGTCTGTCATTAAGTCAACTGGTGTGGTTTCGATTCCCTGGTTGTACGTGACAAGGAGTAGGGTCGCCTGTCTAACTTCGTGGGTTTTCTCCGGGTTCTCCGCTTTCCTCCCACTGCTCAAGCAAATTATTGAAATAAAATTGAACAATGACCTGGTTTGTGTCGAATGGATGTTAAACCCCATTTCTCTCCTAATAATAAACAACAATTTACATATGTATACGTGTTCTGAGAAACTTTACTAATGTCCGGTATCCCAAATATCCTTTAGACATGAGCTTTAAAGATCTATCATAACATTGTACAGTTTTCAACTTGGAACTTACACTTCATCCCGTCGTGATTACGACAGTGAAAATTAGTTGTTTTGGATACTATTGATCGCCATTTCACTGCCACTTAGCAATAGTAAAAATCACTATTGAGATAGGCCAACATTAAGAAGGAAACAAAATGGAAACCTCTTTGGCTTCAGGGGGGTTGGATGGCTGAATGGTTAGCGTGCGCGCGCTGTATCATAAGTCTGTCATGAGTCGACTGGCGTGGTTTCGAATCCCCGGTTGTACGTGACAAGGAGTAGGGTCGGCTATCCAACCTCGTGGGTTTTCTCCTCCCACTGCTAAAGACCCCTATGCGCAAGCGAATTATTGAAATAAAATTAAACCATATGTTAGTCCCAAAATGACCTAGTTGTGTCGAGTGGACGTTAAACCCAATTTCTCTCTCTTTGGCTTCATGTAATCATGACTGGTCTGCATAATTAACCATCATTATTTTTTTTCAGGTTTCCCCTAGTTAATCAAAATGGTGAGAAGTGCTGTCCGCCCTGCGTTGAAACCTAAAGTTGTCAAAAAGAGGACAAAAAAATTCTACAGACATGAATCTGATAGATATATGCGTGTAAAGGTAGGTCACTTAAACCGATCATTTGAAATATCTTGGTTTTGATTGGCTGGGTGTTCTGACGTGTCGGCCGTAGATGTTATTGATGGCTAATATATCTATTTTCTCTGGATTTCCCTTTTTGTCTCCTCCATTAAAATTGTTTTGTGGAGCCATGGTTGTTTAGACGCTGCTTGCTAATTGGAATTTCTTGGGTTGGCTTCCAGTTTTGGCATGACATGGACAACATATTGTCATCCATTCACGACGAACCAAGGTTCCGTGTACACATGGGTAAACACATAAAAGAACCCTTGAAGTTGGATTTCGAAACAGCACTGCTGTCCGGACAAAATGCCCCTCGTTGCACACTATAGAGCCCAACCGGAGCAGAAAAGTGAAATGATCAACTTCATTTCATTTCTGGGGGTTGGATGGCTGAATGGTTAGCATGTGCATGCTGTATCATAAAGTCTGTCATTGAGTCAACTGGCGTGGTTTCGAATCCCCGGTTGTACGTAACAAGGATTAGGGTCGCCTGTCCAACCTCGTGGGTTTTCTCTGGGTCCTCCAGTTTTCTCCCACTGCTAAAGACCCCTACGCGCAAGCCAATTATTGAAATAAAATTAAACTGTATGTTAGTCTCGAAATGACCTAGTTTGTGTCGAGTGGAAGTTAAACTCCATTTCTCTCTCTCACATTTCATTTCTATTTTTAATTGCAGAGAAACTGGCGTAGACCAAAGGGTATTGATAACAGAGTTAGACGAAGATTTAAGGGTCAATATTTAATGCCCAAAATTGGTTACGGTAGTAACAAAAAAACACGACACATCTGTCCTGATGGTTTTAAAAAGATTCTCGTTCACAACAAACGGGTGAGTTGATTATCTGACATCATCCAGCCTGTAATAAAGCCATACGACGACTCTAGTAATGACGGTTATGTATGAAAATCTATCAATTTGAAATGTTTAGAACATTTATATGCACATACACAATTTATCAATCTATAACATTTTTAGTTTTTACCCACTTCGTTATCTTTACATCACACTGAATTGGATTTTAACATGTATTCTACGATTTATTTGACCTTGGAAATCGGCCATCCTTTATACATATATAAAATGAAAGATGTATGTATGTTTGCCCATCACGCTTCATCACGTGGCCACAATCCGACCCCACATATGTGGAATCGAATTAACCAGCATGACCCCTTGAATGGTTTAGACCATGATTTATGAATGTCAAGGTCACAGATCTTGGTCCCTGGGCAAAGCCAGATATCCAGCTAGTTACTGCTAAATGCAAGTATCCGTGGCATATCCTGACAGCGATTGACCACATATCGAACAGGCTGGGGTTTTCCAAATATGAGATCTAACAAGATGGAAAACAAAATTACCCATTCCAAAATTAAAAGCATGTTAATTCATTTGCATTTATTTTGTATCAGTGAAATTTTGAATATCGTATGCCTGATATAATTAATATATTACATGACCTAGGGATATATTTTCTTTAATTTGTTTAATTGAGATTTTTCATTTGGTTCAATCTTCTGTTTTTCCAAGAGAGAGGAATGAAAGGGGGTGGGGGAAATTAACAATGACTACACCAGGTTTGCTGCCAAACTTGGGTTTGTGTAATTTATCGGGTGATTATCATTGTTGAATGATTTATATACTGCTAATCATCACACATACTTCTGTTGGTCGTTGTTGTATATAAAAGATTTCTGTAGGTTATAGCCCTTGAAATGATAAATCTGTTAATCATGGGTCTTACAAAAAACTGCCAACATCTGGCGGTACACCATTTTTGTAATAGCTCATATTTGAAACCAGTGTCTGTGTAATGTCTGTCACGTTGGAGATGGATTGATAAACAAGGGGAGACAACTCCAATTTTTGATTTTACTTTATTCTGAGCGAAGTTACCACTGTAGTTATGACAAGATGTATGCAATAATTTTTTATTATCGTAACCATGAAACTGGTATATTTGAGTCTTGGCCTCACTTCTCCATTTTTAAATTAGATTAAATCATTAAGTAAAATTCAAATAACTATCAGTGGCTTGAAGAAAAACAGAATTCCATGAAGTTTTCACAATTTAGGCCTTGAAGAATTTGTAAAAAAAGACAATTTGTAATTTTAAGTCCAGTCTTGACAAAACATTGTCATTTTCTGGTGATATTGTGTTCAGGAAGTCAGTGATGGATGCATTATTAAACATAAATTTTCTGTTTCAGGAGTTGGAAATTTTAATGATGCAAAATGGAACCTTTTCTGCCGAGATTGCCCATGGAGTGTCGAGTAAAAAACGAAAAGATATTGTAGAACGAGCACAGCAATTGGCCATCAAAGTAACTAATGCCAACGCTCGTCTCCGATCACAAGAGGACGAGTAAACTGTTAAAAAATAAAAAAATAAATAAAAAAAACATTCAAAGCATCTTGACTTGATTCTTTTTTTCTGGGCTTATTGACATGATGCTTCTCATGCTCGTACTAAATGATTTCCTATCCTGTTCTCAATCTGCTGATAGTCTTAAGTTCGAGGCATCTAAATCAACATCAACCTTGGATGAGAATTGGATTAAGTTTTTTAAGTGATGAAATTGTGGATGACAGTTAATGTCATGAGGAATTCCTCAAACTGACTTATATTTCCAGGGGCAGGACGATTTACCCAGTACTACCCAATACCACCCAATACTAACTAAATACTAACTAAATACTACCACAAGATTGTGAAAAACCAACAGATTTTTCAATTATATATAAAAAAAGAAAAATTGAGTTAATTCATGGAAAAAATGGAAGTGGTGGCCAGTTCCTCAATGTTCCATTTTATTCAGTTTATCACCCAATACTAACAAATATTAGCCCATACTATCAGAAATCAATCCATCAATAATGAGCCAATATAACCCAAAATGAGATAAATACAATTATTTTAATAATGGGTTTATTTGTGGAAAATACATTAATTATTCAATGTTTATCCGTTTCATTTATCACCGATACTACATAAATACATGTTTATCTGTTACAATTTTGCTAATTCCGCCAATTAATTAATTTGTTTCTTTATATAATTGAAGTAGTATGTTAGTTTTTCATAAGGTGGTATTTGGAAGTATTTAAATAATATTGGGTGAATATTCCTGCCGTGTTTTCGAGCACATTTTTTAGTTGTCCATAGTTTCCCTATATTTTACATTGAGTCGGCTCAATCTGAACGACAGACTCACCCTACCTGCAGAGAAGTGACTGACACAGTGAATAGCCATGATATCCATATGACGTTATCTAAACGTCACAGGTCATGAGGTCACATCAACAAACACATGTAAACACCATCATTATTAACATTACAAGACACAATGTTACATTGTAAACAATAGCCTTCTTGCAGCCTTTATGACTGTATAATCCGTACAGAACGTCTTATCGCTTCATCCAATGATTTTTCACAAAAATAACATCTATAACTCTAGATTTGACGTCGGCATATTGGCACTATTTTGTGCTTCGGTCGTGTCTATTTCAGATATACATAGTCAATTCTGTTAATGTTTTTAGCGTGGGGATTGACTAAAAGTTAATTTATTTTAGTTCTAAACAAAAATTTAAAATTTTAACGCAAATTTAAAAAAAATAGCCAAATTCTGACTGGGTTTACTGAGCAAAATGGCCATTCACTGTATACGTGCGAAAAAAAAAAAAGCCAGCTACCATTTAATTTTCGTACGTACGTGAGTCGGCTATTTATATTTAGCCAACCTAAATCATTATTCTACTTTCAATTTTTACGTGAATAATCAACTAGTCCTGGGTACAGCCAAACACGGTATCCATTCATTTGGTTTTTATAGTTCTCTTGTAGTAACTAACGCCCCTCCGTATCGTATTGCCATTCTGGAAGATTGTTGGGCACAAACATAACAGGTCATATTTATTGATAGTGAAAATTCTTTTTATAACTATTTAGGTGCCAGTGTGACAAGAATTTCTCTCGGTTCTTTGTATAGGCAACTCTTCTCTTGCTGTTTGGGTCTTGTCAGGAATAAACCCCCACTCCATTCTCTGGAACACTATCCTAGGGTTTGTGATGATTGGATTATTTTGGTGGATCAATTGGTGTTCTTGCATATACTATTAATGGATTTAGAATTGAAGCGATTTATCCAAAGAAATCAATGTAGATGAACCCTCGAATTCAAGATGGTGAGAAATTGGGATTTAGGTCTCGTTCAACATATCTGGACTAACATGTATTTCACCTGTAGATTATTGTTTTATCAATAATTGGCCCGGGGAATGGAGAGACAGGAATCTTTAGAAATGGGAGGAAACTGGTAGTGTTCCGAGAAAACCCAAGGGGTTAGGTAGGCAGTCCTATACTGATTGTCATGTACAAGCCGGATTCGAAGATTCAACTTAATCAACAGTAATGTGGTTGAAACCCAGCGGATTTTAACAAGCGGTTGCCATGCAAGATACACCCCTATTGTGCAAGTGATGGACGGAGATCCTAAAAGCGTGCACAATAAGCGTCCATAATTCAGTATTTTACGGTCCGACAGGCGCCAATATCAAAGGGGACTGTAATCTTTTGGATATCAACCTTTATTTCGAGTCTCGTCAAAACTGGATAAAAGTTGTGACCTGTAGAGTGTCGACAAACAAAATATGGGCGGACAGGGGCGACGACAATATACGCCCTCATGTAAATATGGGCGTATAAAAAGAAAACGAACAAATAAAACTTGATATTTATATTCAACGTTTATATATTTATGTAACCCAATTATATTAAATTAAGAGAAAGTAACAAAAACAAAATATTGGGTTACACGTGTATAGTCCGGCATGCATCAGACCAACTGATATTTGCATATTATAAAGAAATACACAGCATTCAACTAATAAAATACATTTGATAAAATAAAATGTAAAAATATCAACGTGAAAAGATAGATATATAGAGGATATTTGTCGTTTTGTCGTGAATAACATATTTTATTTCATCGAGAAGCAAGAAAACTTATATTTTCACGAATGCGTAGCATGAGTGAAAATATAAACGTTTTCCTGCTTAGAGATGAAATAAAATATGTTATTCACGACAAAACGACAAATGTTCTATTTATTTTATGATTTTACAATCATTTTAGGTAAAATCAACATGGACTACTGCTGGCCAGTGGAATAACACTTTTATTTCACTGATAAAACGCGGTATTCCACTACTGATCATAAAATAAACAAGAATACTGATTGGTTTCAGCTTCAAATCACATACAAAACACATAATACATTTGATTAAATACAATTTAAATATTATTTTGAAAAGGTTAGATATACAAAAGCAATGTTGAAGCAAGACTACCGACTGGTTTCAGCTTTTCATTAATGTTGTCAACCTGGAGAATTCCACCTTGGTTAATATGGAGCCAGAATTGTGAGATTATGGGGTGGACTGAGAACGGGTCTGTGGGTGTGGTAGGCCCGGGAGCCCGTAAAGAAGTTAATGTTCTCGCGTTAATTTGGGGTTGGGGGGCTTTTCGGTCTTGAATCTAAGTCATTTTAGATCTTAATGAATTGAAAAGATTACCACACGTTGAATTGACGCATACGCTATAAACATTAAGGTATGCTCAAGAAGATCCCATTTACAGTCAGTTTTTCTAAAATATTATGGAGCACTGGTGAAGAGACCCACGGAACCCCTAGAGCAGGGTCCTATGTTCCCGGGTTAACATTGGTATTTCATTGGCACAAGTATTCTGGGGAAAACAGACAGGGGATAATCATGCAGCATTGAACAGAAGTCTTGAGCACATTAAATATTTATAAAACTGTTTTTGTTATAGTTATTCTGGTATTTTATCTTTACCAAACATGACATCTGTTCTACACGAGTATTTTAAACCTTCCTCCAATAACGAGCCCTCGTGATATATTTTATGTTCAAATATTAAAACAGCCCCTGAAAAACAACAAAAACAACAAAATATTAGATTTCCTTGTATCATTTTCACCTCGGATTATGGAGCTACCTTGACGTGGTTGTCATTTTCCCATAAATACCGCGGGGAAATATTCATTCACTGGCTGGGTTAATTCACGTGAAAGTATATTGTTTTCTTACTTATACTGAGATTCATATTACGACTAATGACGAGCGATATTTAATGATTTTTTTGCAGAGTTACTACCCCTGTCACCGAAACATTGTAAACGTTCTACGGGCCAATACTTGATGGAATCGTTTGGATAATCACAAGGAAGAAAACTATGGAATCTTCGAGTCGCCCACCCAAATAGGCCCTGTACAGAAATATAGTTTTTGACACTGGTATCTAGAATGCGATGCATGGAACAAGAGTTTTGAAACTTTTCAAAAGATTGTTCAATTGTAAAGGAGACGCCTGTCAAGATTTGAGAGTGGACCATCAATTTTATGTGTCGTGATTGCCTCAGACCCCGACAACTGAATGACATCACTATAGTGGACGAATATTCGTTTTATTTGAATACGAACCTGTTTTAGGAACAAATTCGACTCGTTCATCTGTTACTCGTGATAAAAATGTTGTTGACCCACCTTTAAAACCCTGAAATAAAAACGCAAAAACATTGATAGGGATGATCGCGGGGTGAGTTAATGAACTGCTCTCAAAATTATATTACCTTTTTTCTTCTTTAAATCAAATTCTAAAATAATATTTCAAATTCATAAAACTGACCTCATTAAGATATAACTGTATAGTGATCAAACTTTTTTCACCATTTTCCCTTTGATAACATCCATCAAAATGTGGTTTAAAATAATCCCCATCGGTGTACCTCAAAAATCTCAACCTGACAAAAACACAACGTATAATAATCACTTATAATCCATATGGGCATGCACAATACAAAATGAAATTTACCGATTAACAAAACAATAGTGAATATCAGCGTCTAGTCGTTCCGATGCGAAAAAAATGCCGATGTTCCGTGCACACGTAGCGTGCATTTAAAACAATACCCGACAGTTGGAATTCGAAAAGTGTAGAAAAGAAGGAGGCTAGACTTCTATTCATTTAGTTTTATTTCACATAAGCCTTGGACATCACATATTCCCCCACCCCTAATCCGTTCTTGTTCCGTAAATTAAACCACGGCCCGTTAAATCTATAAATACCTTTCGTTTAGTCCAATAACAGGATAACCTTTGAACTCGGTACAAACAAAATCTTTAATACGGTTCCAGATCCTATCAGCTTCCTTTTTCGTATCCCAGATACATCGAGCACTTTTCCTAATATCCGTTCTTAACACATCTCTAAAACATAATTCAAAATTATTTTTAAAAATTACATTTTAAATACAACAAGCCAACAGTGAGACTGATGTCCCCCGCAGAAATACCAAGATAAATAGATGACAATTAGAAGGAGGGTTATTGTGTCCTAAAAAGTGTGACGGACAGACAGGCGGATGGACAGACAGACAGACAGACAGATGAACCCATTTTAATAGTCCCCTGCTTTCTTCGAAAGGTGAGGGAGAATAAAGAAACCCAGAAATCAAATATGTAAGCCGTACACTAAACCGTATAAACAATTTCCAGTTTCCACGTATAAATTATATGTACTAACTACTGATTACAATAAAATGTAAATGAGCAGCTGTAAATGAGTTGGACTACATTTTCCATCATGTCTGTGCCGATTACCAGCATGGCACGGGCCTGATTTCTGTAACAAAGTTTAAATACCAAATTGTCTTCCTAACTAAGTAAATGCATGTAATAACGATCAATGACAGGTTGGCAGTCACGGTGGCTCAGTGTGTAAGACTTCGGCTCGCTAACCTGGAGGTCCCGGGATTTTCCGGCATGGTCTCCCATTAAAAGTTATATAATTGGCAAGTGCACACATTGGCGTGTACTTAAAAGATCCCTTGGCAGTTTGAATTCGATATAAGAGTAGGTTTTACTGCCACTGTCCGGGTAAAATATCCCCCACAGCACACTGTATGGCGTTTGCCGTCTTCATTAGCCCATTGGGAGCAAAACAGTAGGACGTTAAACCTCATTTCATTTAATTCATTTCAATGACGGGTATACATCATGCATTGTGGTATAAGGGGAATTGTCCTGGACAGTCTATACAGTCAATGGTTTTTGTATACGGGACCTCAGTTTTTCATCCCATCCGAAAGACAGGACACTGACTATTGACAGGTACATTGACTGTTGACAGGTACCCCTTCCTGCACAACTGGCAAAGGGAAGCACCCTGGAATACTGCTAAGGAACTTTCTCGGACAAATGCTGGATCCACCCAGGGACCCCATACTCACTGACCCAACTTGGGTACCAAATAGAAATGTAAATTTAATCATACCCAACACACGTTGATAATAAGGCCACTTCATAACCACGTTTCTCTGTTTTATCAATAAATTCCTGACATTCCTGAAACAACAATCTAAAATATAACAATACTGTCGCGGTTTTACTCAGTTAGTTGTACATAGGGCCGACTTAGTCGTGGTTTTGAGACACTGTTACAAATGTGTTATTACATTACAAAACAATATATGTGAAGACAGTGGCGCATCCAGATAGATCCCCTAACCCCTAGCCTCCTCTCCTCCTCCTATATAGGGTTTTAACCTACTATTAAAATAGTATACAACTTTCACCATGTCTACGATATCACCCTTGGTGGAAGTGGACGTAAAACTCATGAAACAAACAACCAAACAACTTTCGCTTATTCTGTTTCTATCAATCATGTAAGGTTTTTGTTGGTTGGGGCGATGAAATGTAATGTTATATTCGGGTACAGACACTCAAACAGGCCCGTAGCTGGGGGGGGGGGGCGAGCGCAAAAGTTTTCTACCATAAAAAAACCAGATTAACATTGTCCATCAACATAAAAGCACCCCTGAGAACACTTCCCGCCCCCTTGTTGCTCTGAGCTAGTTACGGCCCTGTACTCAAAACAAATATACTGCGTTCCCTACTGTTGAATGTTTGTAGGAACATTGACGCGACTGTCACATTTTTCTTTCACCGATGTCGGGGTTTTATTCAGTATTACTGTTTGACACCCCATCTTTATTAGCCCAGTAGGAACAGAACAGTAGGACGTTAAACATCATTTTATTTCACTTGTCGGCACTAACCCTTAAATATATGTAAGTAACATAGTGGACCTAAATACAGTAATATAAATGAAAAAAACAAATGATGGGAAAAATCACTTCTCAGCGTTTATACAATAGGTACCGTATGGCAACAAGGTGGCAATCCGTATGACAACAGGGTGACAATCTGTTTATACAATAGGCACCGTAGCAACAGGGTGGCAATCCGTTTATACAATAGGCACCGTATAGCAACAGGGTGACAATCCGTTTATACAATAGGCACCGTATAGCAACAGGGTGACAATCCGTTTATACAATAGGCACCGTAGCAACAGGGTGACAATCTGTTTATACAATAGGCACCGTATAGCAACAGGGTGACAATCCGTTTATACAATAGGCACCGTATAGCAACAGGGTGACAATCCGTTTATACAATAGGCACCGTAGCAACAGGGTGGCAATCCGTTTATACAATAGGCACCGTATAGCAACAGGGTGACAATCTGTTTATACAATAGGCACCGTATAGCAACAGGGTGACAATCCGTTTATACAATAGGCACCGTAGCAACAGGGTGACAATCCGTTTATACAATTTGGCACCGCGATGGCAAAAGGGTGGCAAACCAATAGAATTGAGTCAAATCGGGTATCGAGTCCCCCCCACCATCCACCACCACCAACTTCAACTCCTCGCTGGAATTTTCAGGGATTTACCCTTAATGAGAATATAAAGAGCATGTTTACCTTTGGCGTAAAGACATTGTATAAACCAAACGCTAAACGATTCTTAAATTCACCAGGTAATTCTATATCTTTTTTAACAATGTCCTCTCTCTACAATATAACATATTATAATAAACTGACAGAAAAACTGTACATCAAAATATAGACAAAAACAACAATACACATTATGCCAACAACACACTTATTAATTAAAATCTAGAATATCAAAGTGCTGGGGCAGATCAACGATTGTGAAACTAATGAAGTTTAGAAGCCTTTATTAAATTCAACAAACTTTAAAGAACGCAAAGATTTTATTGATCAAGAACTAGAATATGTACCCAGATTTTAGTTTAAGTTCTCGTAAAAAGGGCCCCAGTGCCCCTGATCTAGGGTGAGGTCTAAATATTAAGACCACCTGCGCTAACCATAACACTAGACCCAATCCTTACCCAAACGGTAACCCACAATTCTGTATGGTGGCTGATAGTGGCCATGTTAAATCTCGCCCTTTTCATAGCGCGACAACACGACATCACGACAGTATTGACGCAATCATACGACACTTAACTCTGTCGTATCATCGTGTTATTTTTATCGTAACGTCGAGATGTCGACTTATTGTCCTAGTCTCTTTCTACAAGTCACAAAAATACAGCTGTACTCATTACATCAGATACATATACATAGATACATATAAATAAGACTCGTCAAAAGAGATAATAGGAAAACGTTGATTCGTTTTCTAAAAGAAAATGAAACATTTTGCGCCCAAAATTGAATTATATTTGGTATTACATTCAAAAAATCTAGAATCATAATAGCAGGACAAAAGTGAGTCAGCTATGTTAATTCCTTGAATAAGAAGTGGTGTCGGTAGGTATCGAACAAGTATGCATTGCCTCGTGTACGACACCCACCAATACTTATAGATTACTGAAGCGATAGTTTAGAAGCGATTTCAGAAGATTTCCAATTTATTTTATTAGAGTGGGAAGGGGATTATATAAAACCTCAAATCAGACCACATAAAATCACCGCATTGGTGTAGCACGCCATCCCAATAAGTGCAGGGGAGGTTTTTTATGAGGTGAAGAAAGCGATTTGCAGCTGTTATTGACCTTATCGCATATTCATCCGTTTGGCATCACTAATGGGATCGGGGCCTAGATGATTAAAAATAGGCCCAGTATTGCCTTCAGCTATGAACACACTCCGAAAGTCCCCTACGCACCCCCCCCCCTCTTATTTTGTTTAACAAATAATTTCGGAATCAATAAAATGGTAGGTCCCTATCAATGATGTTTGACACGACTGGAAATTAATGTGTCTAAAATTGATTAAACAACATAGGGTAGTAAATATTACATTTTGAATCCGTATCAATGATACATTTAGGGTGGTAAATATTACATTTTGAATCCGTATCAATGATACATTTACTCAAAATGTTCCTTCCAATGGATCACCATTTAACTTGAAAACAAGGGAAGCAGCCGATCGAAGAAAAAAAGATTTTAAAAAACAAGTTTCAATATGATAGTAGTGGTTCGGTCATGCATTTACATCTGTGGGTGTCATCCTTTCTTTGAAAGTAATGATTGTGCCAGATTTGAACAAAGTCCATCTAGATTCGCGGCCTGTAGGTAAAGTGTTGACAGATAAAACGTAAAAAAAAAACCAGACCTATAAAAATATATTTTCTAAAACTATTTTAATTTTGAAATTATATTATTTTCACATGTGCTAAGTGTTTTAGTGAATAGTTATAGAAAGGGTCTTGTAGATTAAGACTATAGCGCATGTGCACTGTGCAGTTTTAAACTTCCGAGACGACAAGTCGACAAGTCGATGATACGACAGTTTCGCTTTTTGTCGTGCCGTCGTATCATCGACTTGTCGTGGCGATAAGTCGATGATACGACGGCACGACAAAATCACACGATCTTACGATAAAATCGGGCGATCTTACGACAGAACAAACTGTCGTAAGATCGTCTGATTTTGTCGTATCATCGACCTTATTTTGTCGTGCTGTCGTATCATCGACTTATCGCCACGACAAGTCGACAAGTCGATGATACGACAAAACCAAACTGTCGTATCATCGACTTGTCGACTTGTCGTCTCGGAAGTTTAAAACTGCACATGCGCTATAGTCTTTATCTACAAGACCCTTCTATAAATATTCGCTAAAACACTTAGCACATGTGAAAACAATATAATTTCAAAGTTAAAAGAGTTTAAGAAAATATATTTTTATAGGTCTGGGGTTTTTGTTTTTTTTGTTTTTTTTACATTTGATCTGTCAACACTCTACCTACAGGCCGCGAATCTAGATGGAATTTGTTCAAATTTGGCACAATCATTACTTTCAAAGAAAGGATGGCACTCTCGGAGGTAAATGCATGACCGAAGCACTACTGTCACATTGAAACCTGTTTTTTTTTTTTAAAAAAATCTGTTTTCTTCGATCGACTGTTTCCCTTGTTCCAAGTTAAATGATGATCTATTGGAAAGAACGTATTGAGTAAATCTACGCTATCACTAAGACGGATTCAATATGTAATATTTCTCATTACTACCTATGTTGTTTAATCAATGCTATACATGTTATTTTTCAGTCGTATCAAACATCATTGATATCATTTTATTGATTCTGAAATTATTTGTAAAACAAAATAAGAGACGTGGGGGGGGGGGGGCGTATGAGGCTTTCATAGTGTGTAATCATCTAGGCCTCGATCCATTGTTTTTGGTGCTTGATATTTTGCGGGGGAGTCGCAGTGTCTAGGCAGGTAAGACGTTGGTTCGGTAACCCGAAAGCTGGGTGTTTGATCCCTTCATTGGACGAGAAAGTTCATCCAGATTTTCCGACGAGGTCTTGTCAGTTGTGCTGGACAGAGGGCCTGGCACGTAAAATATCCCTTGGTAGTTGGAATTCGATATAATGGTAGGCCATAGTGCGCTGTCCTGGCAAAATTTCGCTCATAGTATGGCGTATGCCCGTCTTCAATATGACAGTACTGGTTCGGTCATGTATTTACACCCGAGAGTATCATCCTTTCAGAGGATCGCGTGGCTACGTGGGCAAGACGCTGGCTAGCTAGCCTGGAGGTCGGGTGTTCGATCCCACACTGATCAGAAGTGAATATTCGCTAGGCCTCTGATAAGAATGACATCGATGCGACTTAATGAGTCCCCAATATTAACATTATTCCTCCGACAAATTTAATTCTAAAAATTTTTTTTTTATGTATTAGAAAAATAAATAAAGACATTTGAAGTATTTGTAGGTAAAAAATATTTCCTATGTAGCGTAAATGGGTATTAAAATGAGTAAAAGGCATCATTCTACCCGAAGCAGTTACGTCTTATATAAACAATGCACGCGCCATTGGTCCAATGATTGACACCGCGTGACGTGATTGCATGTGTTGAAAACAGTCATCTTTTACAGAGATATTAGACGACTTTTTTCACAGATTGGTTCGATCCCTGCATTGGCCGACAAAATTCATCAAGATTTACCGGCGTGGTTCCCCCTTGTCAGTGATGCGGGACGGAGGGCCTGACAATGACAGCTGTCTAGTCGTTCGGATGGGACGAAACACCGAGGTCCCGTGTACACATTGGCGTGCACGTAAAAGATCCCTTGGCAGTTGGATTTCGATATAAGAGCGGGCCGTAGCGCCGCTTCCCGGGCAAAATTCCCTCATAGCACACTGTATGGCGTATGCCCGTCGTCTTTAGCCCAGTTTAGGAGAGAACAGTAGGACGTTAAACTCCATCTCATTTCATTTCATGCCATCCTGTCTTTGAAAGTAATGATTATGCCAAATTTGAACATCTAGTTCCGCAGTCTGTAGTTATACCAGAGGGTTGACAGATAACACCTTAAAAAAAACAGATCTATGAAAATATATTTTCTAAACCTTTTTTAATTTTGAAATTATATTGTTTTCACGTGTGATAAGTGTTTTAGCGAATAGTTGTAGAAAGGGTCTTGTAGATTAAGACTATAGCGCATGTGCAGTTTCAAACTTCCGAGACGACAAGTCGACAAGTCGATGATACGACAGTTTGGTTTTGTCGTATCATCGACTTGTCGACTTGTCGTCTCGGAAGTTTGAAACTGCACATGCGCTATAGTCTTAATCTACAAGACCCTTTCTGTAACAACATGTATTCGCTGAAACACTTAGCACACGCGAAAACAATATTATTTCAAAATTAAAAGAGTTTTAGAAATATATTTTTATAGGTCTGGTTTTTTCTTTGTTTTTTTGTACGTTTGATCTGTCAACACTCTACCTATAGGCCGCGAATGTAAACTGACTTTGTTCAAATTTGGCACAATCATTACTTTCAAAGAAAGCATGACACTCTCGAATGTAAATGCATGACCGAATCACTACTGTCATATTGAAATGTGTGTGTTTTTAAATCTTTTTCTTGATCGCTGCTTTCCTTGTTTCATGTTAAATGATGATCCATTGGAAGGAACATATTGAGTAAATGTACGTTATCACTGATACGGATTCAATATGTAATAATATTTCTCATGTTTAATCAATTTTTGACATATTATTTTCCAGTTGTATCAAACATCATTGATACCATTTTATTGATTCTGGAATTATTTGTAAAACTAAATAAGAGACGTGGGGTGGGGTATGAGGCTTTTAGAGTGTATTCATAGTTGAAGATATTACTTGGCCTTTTTTTACTCATTTAGGCCCCAATCCCATCAGTGATGTCAAACGGATGCAAGCCTATATGCGATAAGGTCAATAACGGCTGCGAATCGTTTACTCCACCTCATAAAAAAACTCCTGCATCTATTTGGGTGACGTGGGGGGGGGGGGGGGTATGAGGCTTTTAGAGTGTGTTCATAGTTGAAGATATTACTGGGCCTATTTTTACTTATCTAGGCCTCAATCCCATTAGTGATGTCAAATGGGAGAGAGAGAGAGAGAGAGAGAGAGAGAGAGGGAGAGAGAGAGAGATAGGGGTTTAACGTCCACTCGACACAAATTAGGTCATTTCGGGACTAACATATGGTTTAATTTTATTTCAATAAATCGTTTGCGCGTAGGGGTCTTTAGCAGTGGGAGGAAACCGGAGGACCCGGAGAAAACCCACGAGGTTTGACAGGCGACCCTACACCTTGTCACGTACAACCGGGGATTCAAAACCACGCCAGTTGACTCAATGACAGGCTGTGAATCGTTTTCTCCACCTCATTCAAAAAAAAAAAAGACTCCTGCAACTATTGGGGTGACGTGCTGCACTATGATAATGCTGTGATTTTAAAGAATGTGACCCGATTTGGTTTTTTTACAATCCCCTTCCCACCCTGTCTTCTGAAATCATTTTTAAACTATCGCTCCAGTCATCTATAAATATTGGTGGGTGTCGTACACATGGCAATGAATGCTTACTTGTGTGATACCTCCCGACACCACTTTTTCTTCAAGGAATTAACTTAGTTAACTCACTTTGGTCCTGCTATTGTAATTCTAGATTTTTTAAATATAATACCAAATATAATTCACTTGTGGACACAAAATGTTTCATTATTTTGAGAAAACAAATAATTAATCAACGTTTTCCTACTATCTCTTTTATATTTATCAAATCTACTACTTAGGCCTATATATGATGTAATGAGTACAGCTGTATTTTTGTGACTTGTAGAAAGAGACTAGGACAATAAGTCGACATCTCGACGTTACGATAAAAATAACACGATGATACGACAGAATAAAGTGTCGTATGATTGCGTCAATACTGTCGTGATGTCGTGTTGTCGCGTTATGAAAAGGGCGAGATTTAACATGGCCACTATCAGCCACCATAATTCTCCGCAACAATCACGTGCTCTAACCGAGCTGCTAACATCTCGTGACCATGACGAAATCTGCAGACAGTCTTAATATTTACACCTGACCCTGATATAGTTCATATTGCATACAAATTGTGAGCCTACTGTAGCGGTGGTTCGTTGTACATAAAATAGAGAAGTTTACGGGCGAGTGAATACCTAATTATGTTAGAAAAACTCACACCAACTATTAATATTACGGAATAATAATGATTGAAATGAAAACGTAACCCTTGTCACCCAACACATACCGACAAGTAGGCCTAACACTACTGAACTGTGCCTAGAAAAATATATTGATATTATAGGCCTACCTGTTCTTTTCTCCATTTACTAAACATAATGTCCGAATCTTTTATTCTGCTACACTTGGTCCGAAATCAAAGTAAAATAATCAAAACCGTATCTGGAAGTAAAATAAAATGAAATGGGGTTAAACGTCCTGTTTTATTTCTGCACCTACAGGGATAATGAAAACGGGCATTACGTCATACAGAGTGCTTTGTTTGAGGAAAATCGTTATCGGACAGCGACGTTATATTCCCGGTCCTCTTTACACAGAATTCCAACTGTTTTAACAGGTTTTTACATACACGCCGAAGTAAACACGGACCTCGGTTTATTGTCTCGCCCGGACGACTAACCTGGAAACAGATGACATCATTTTATGCTAATCAAACCTGGATGTAAATGGCATCGTTGATGAATTAAACAATCCTAGCTTGACTACTGTGGAAAACGCTCTCAGATATAAGGAAATGGCGAACACTTTGCGAATAGCCAACAGAAGGAGCGTACGTACGTTACCATCGCTCGAAAACTAGATATATGTACTATGTAGGCCTATCGCTATACAGCTCTCCGCAGATTCGCGTGTCTGTTTTGTTCAGAATGCAGTCCTCCAAGAAGGTCATTTTGGTAGTTTTGACATTACCAAAAATAGCAAATAATTATTTTTTATTTCAGTGTGAAGAAGACAATTTGCCTATAGACTAGAGAGTAGAATTTCCATCTTCTCTGTTTCTAATTCCAATGCAATCAACATAATTGAAGTGGGAACATAAATGGAATTAATTATGATGAAAATGCACTCTTTAGTTTTATATTCTATTTCGCGCACCGTATTTTAATAACAACATTCATAAATACGCACGAGAATTCTACGTACGTGTTTTAAAACTGAGCAAATAATAACAAACTATAAGCTAGGTCGCTAACGGTAACTACTTAACCATAGTCAATTAACATAGCAGCCAGTCAGCCACTATTTTTAGGTACAAATAAACGCTAGTCATTCATCGATTTTATAGTAAAGCAGAGTAGGACGTTATCTGTTGTATTGACAGTCGCGATCTAAACATATTAGATATCTTACCGTTTTGTAAAAGACACTGTACATGGTGTTTTCGGCTATATTTACACCAGGAACTAGTGTTTCCGTTCCGTAAACACTGAAGATAGCAATCCCTAACACATCCTTCAATAACACTCTGTGAATTGTGATGTTAGCAGTCCTTTTCTCAACAGCTAATTGACTCTAACTATGGAAAGCAAAGGAGGTCACTATCAATTATTGTACTGCGCAGAACCCTAGAGATTATGCACGCGCAAACCACAATCGACTATAACCATTACACAAAACATAAAGTTAGGTCAACAGACGAATGTAGGAGAACTGTGCAACGCATTATAGACAGCACAAAACGGCACAATAATTTACTTTCACTTGTGGCACAGTAAGGCACCATATCGTTAAGCTAGATGGCGCATGTTCGATCACTATGTTGGCCGAAAAAGTTCATCTAGGCACAGGACGGAAGGACTGTCTAGTCGTTCGGACAGGCCGCTAAATCGAGGACCTGTGAATAATTTGGCGTGCCTTCATTTCGGTACCACATGTGAAATGAAATGGGGTTTAACGTCCTACTTTTCTGCTCCGAACTGGGTTTATGAAGACGGGCATACGCCATACAGTGTGCTATGAGGGAAATTTTGTCCGGACAGCGGCACTACGGCCTACTATTATATCGAATTCCAACTTTTACGTGCACGCAAATATGTAAACGGGACCTCGGTTTTTCGTCCCATCCGAACGACTAGATAGCTGTTCTTCTCAGGCCCACCGTCCTGCATCACTGACAAGGGGGAACCACGCCGAAAAATCTGGATGAACTTTCTCGGTCAATGTAGGGATCGAACACCCGACTATACATGTCAATCAGGATATGCTTCAAATCATCAACCAGGACGGTTAGTGCTAAATGATAAGGCCAGCTCAATTTTTCGTCATATGTCACGAGATGGAAACCGGACTAGCATCAAAACCTCGGCCAGTGCTCTTTTGACTTAGTTTTCACTAATTCACTCCCCTAATCCCTAACCTGCAATCTCGCCAACAATCACGTGCCCTAACCTTATTTACATCTCAGCGACCTTGACAAAAATTGAGCTGGCCTTAACTATTAGATTTAGTCAAACAGGACGCGATTTTGATACGTCTAAAGAACAGAAATGAAATGAAATGAAATGGGGTTTAACGTCCTACTGTTCTGCTCCTGTACTGGGCTAAGGAAGACGGGCATACGCCATACAGTGTGCTATGAGGGAAATTTTGCCCGGGCAGCGGCAATATCGCCTACTCTTATATCGAATTCCAACTGCCAAGGGGTCTTTTACGTGCATTCCAATGTATACACGGGACCTCGGTTTTTCGTCTCATCCGAAGGACTAAACAGCTGTCCTTGTCAGGCCCTCCGTTCTGCACCACTGACAAGGGGAAACCACGTCGGAAATCCCGATGAACTTTCTCGGCCAATGCAGGGATCGAACACGTGACCTCCAGACTAGCGAGCCAGCGTCTTAACCACCTAGCCACCGTAGCTCAGAGAGCACTCTAGACATTACTAAACTATTATAGAAGGAAGAGAACACCGCTATTATTAACCTATTACAAATAATGACGCAACTTACCTGCCTATATATTAACTTTAACACGTTGTATACAACAAATGTGCACTAGTACAGTTAATACAGTGTGATTTCTTTTGTTTAATTTCAGCTGTAAATATTTCTCCACGTTCAATGTTAATACGTGTTTATTGACAGCATGACTAGTATCATATATGTATGACGCACCTTAACTTCCTATTGAACAAGGCCTATATATATAAACTGTAACACGACGGTAATCGACATATCGATACATAACACCCGAATAATCTGATCAGAAAACATTTAGATTGAAATCTGAGTAAGATTGTACATCAGCCAGATACGAAATTCAACATGACAGCCATCATTAAGGAATATATCAAGTTACCCGGAGAGTTTGAAAATTACTTAGCTTTTGCTTTATACAACGTTTTTACACCCCAGGTAAGTATTTTCACACCTGCAAGTAAACGTTTTTAAACCCCAGGTAAGGATTGTCACACCTGCAAGTAAACGTTTTCACACCCTAGGTAAGCGCGTTGTCACCCCAGGGAATTGATTTTCGCACTTATTATTATTAAAACATTTTTTGGCGTTCTCACTCATGACGTCAGCTGGCAGACAATCGTCATTCAGAAGATGGCCACGGAGAACGCTATGTGGCGTCATATGTCGATTGTGGTTTAGGGTAAACAGCGCTCGCGCTAACCCTAATCCTAGACCAAGCCTAACCCTTACCCCAACCCTAGCGCACAATCCACATAATGACGTCATATGTGCAGGACCGTCTCCGATCTAGCGTTCTCCGCTGACCACCGACCATGTTCCGTTTTCTTTTCATGTTGAGTGAAGCTTGTATTATTACAGCCCCCCCCCCTCCTCCCGATCCATCTCCTTGATTTGATATTTGTTATTAATTTCTTGCAATGTCTATGTAGTATGTCTGGTCCGCAAATTTGTCCTGTCGGTCTTGTTCTGCGTGTAGTGCTGGGCCCTGTTTCTCGAAATCTTAACTAAAGATAAGATCCAAATTTTAGTAGATATTTCAATTTTGATTGGCTAAGCACTAAAATCAATCTAATATTATCCAATCAAAATACTAAAATTTGGATTTTACTTTAGTTAAAGTAGCTAAGTCTCTAACTCAATATCATCCAAAATCTTCGACATTGAAAACACGAATTATTTGTCAATTTAAATCAACATTGGTGTTGTGACCTTACGGGGAAAAGATGGGCTTCTCATATCCAATAATTAAGACAAAATAAACATTTTACCGTTGGTACACGAATCGTGTACACGAATCGTGTACCATGGCCCATTTCAGCGCCATTTTTAACAAGGGACTCGTAGAAAGAGGCTAGATAATATTCCACAAGTCATGTCAATCTTATCTGGAGAGCATGCGCAATAAATGCTATCGGTATAGAGTGGAATAACTAGACGCAAGAGATTGCCATTCGATTGAGACTTCTGGCGTATTTCGCCGAACATAACAGATTAGAAATTGCAATAAAAACAGAAACGATTGAATGTAAATCAGTTTATATACATTCACATTACATTATTATGTGCGTTGCGACCCATTTGTGTCAATTTCTAGGTCCCAAATATTAGCGATTTAGCTCCTTTAAAATTTCGTGAAACAGGCCCCAGTTTTTTTTACACTTACTCATAGTGGATGACAGTTGCTGATGTTTGTTTTGTTTTATTATATTGACAGGAATGTAACGAATTGATTGAAAAAACAGAAGAGATGGGATATAAACCTGCTTTGATAAATGGGTAAGTTGTTGTCTCCAAATAACTATTCTATTCTTTAATATCACACTTGATCTTTTAGATGTGTGTGTGTGTGGGGGGGGGGGAGTAGGTTATTTAAGGAACTGGACCCCAAGTGCTACGGATCTTGCTGTTCGCGTTCTTGTTCTTGGACCGCACTGTTCAAAAAAGCCCGCGACTCCACTAATTTAAGTGTGATCGACATGAAACGTGGCATGTCTGTTTGTTGGACAATGTCGCGTCCATTGGCAGAGAGAGAGAGAGATAGAGAGAGATAGAGAGAGAGAGAGAGATGGGTTTCACGTCCACTCGACACAAAGCAAGTCATTTTGGGACTAACATGGTTCAATTTTATTCAATAATTCGCTTGCGCGTAGGGCTCTTTAGCAGTGGGATCGATCGTCGGACTTCTTTGTTAGGTTCTAAGCTTGTCGTAGTTCACGTCGAGGGTCAAAAACAAAATTCATGAATATTAATTACCGAGTTCGGATGTGACGAAAAACCGAGGTCCCGTGTACAAATTGGCGTGCAAGTAAAAGAACCATTGGCTATTGGAAGAGGAGGACGTAGCGAAGCTGTCCGGGCAAAATTTCAGTCATTTCATTACAGAGAATAATACATGTAAACTAATATAATAAACGGTTAGAATTATCATAGAATTAATTTATTTTCAGACAATTTTATCAACCAAGCAGAAGGTAGCACAATCGATGTCTGTGGGAATCGACAGAACAATCTAATAGAATCTGGAACCGTGTCAAAGATTACGTTTGTTCAGAGATCGAAAATGATCGGGTTACAGGATTAAATAAACAGTACGATTAATGACTTTATATTACTATTTTACGATTAATAACTTTGTTACTATGTTACGATCAATGACTTGATGTTACTATGTTAAGATTAATGACTTTATGTTACTTTTTTACGATTAATAACTTTATGTTACTATGTCACGATTAATGACTTGATGTTACTATGTTACTATTAATGACTTTATGTTACTGTTTTACGATTAATAACTTTATGTTACTATGTTACGATTTATGACATGATGTTACTATGTTACTATTAATGACTTTATGTTACTGTTTTATGATTAATAATTTTATGTTACTATGTTACGATTAATAACTTTAACGCGCACTGGAACACAGTACTCTGGGAGTGGTGCTATACACATGCAGAATAATAATAATAACAATAATAATTATGTTATCAGTAATAACTATATGTTGCGAGTAATAACTTTATATTACGATTAATAACTTTATTTTACGATTAATAACTTTATATTGATAACTTTAGGTCGCGATCAATGACTTTATGTTATAATTAATGACTTTATGTTATAATTAATGGCTTGTAGTTAATTAATAACTTTATGTTGATAGTAATAACGGTGTTACTATCATTGACTCTATGTTCCTATTAATGACTTTATGTTACTATGAATTACTATGTTAATATTAATGACTTTATGTTACGATTATAACTAAGTTACGAGTAATAACTTTATGTCACCACAAATAACTTTATTTTGCGATTACTAACAGTATGTTATAATTGCTAACTTTATAAGGCGAGTAGTAACTTTATGTTACAATAGCTTTATGTTAGTGTAGGCCATCGAAAGTATAAAAAAAAACGAAACGAAATATAGACTGTATTTTAATCAGATTGAGTCGTCATTAGCTCAATCGGTGCAAAAAATAAATAGAACGATAAACCCCATTTCATTTTATCTCTTTGTAGGCTGAAGTTTTTAAGATATGACCCAGGTGAATATTTTAAACCACATTTTGATGGATGCTATACAGGAGAAAATGGCGAGAAGAGTTATTTTAGTTTACAGCTCTATCTGAATGAGGTAAAAACGTTAAATGGCAAACACAACCAATTGTGGTATTTCTATGGAATAAACTATCAAAGTCAATGAAACATTTGATGTCTATGGGCAATTTTGAATCACAACTAAAAACATTTTTATTTCAAAACCCTGATCTGTAAATGATCAATGAATATAACAACAAACAATGTCTTAGAAACTAAATCAAAGCGCTTTATATAAATGACGATATTATTGTTATTATGAATCAAAACATATCTTTTACTATTTGGTCTGAATCCTACCCAGCCTCTTCCAAGTTTGGACATTTTCTATATTGTCACCCCTGTCCCCATTACGTATTAGTGAAATGGGTGCTTTCAAAGTGATCAAGGGCAATAACCCTGGCAGTACAATTATTAGAAATCGTGGAAAACCAATAGGATTCTTCGTCTCATGACCTTAAATTTAATTCAATCGGATATAAACTTACTTAAGCCTCTAGAGCGTCCACGAACGATCGTGGGCGCCGGTCCAATGGACTGACGGACCGACGAGGGCGACAACAATATACAACCACATTTCAATGGATTTTTTTGGTCATTATTGACACAGTGTCGCTATAATAACAATCACTGTCGATGTTGCTATACAGTATACCACAATGGTGACGGGATTTTAAAACCCGAACCCCCGGTGTCCTCCCACGCGCAAGCGAATTAATGAAATAAAATTGAACCTTTTGTGTCTAATGGACGTTAAACCCCATTTCTCTGTCTCTCATAAAACCCGGATGTCACTCACCATCATTGCCACAGTAACCGATGAGTGCTTATATATTTACAGGGTTTTAAAGGTGGGTCAACAACCTTTATCTCGAAGATATCTGGTGATCGTGTGGAATTTGTTCCTAAAACAGGTAAAATAAATAGAAACTAGCAGGCCCCGTGTTCACAAAACATTCTCAGACTTAAGTTAAGAATTCTCTCTTGAAAATTGATCGCGTTATTTTAACTGAAATTTGTCCCTTATCAAACTTTTGCTGTTTTAATGTATCAAATACATTAATAAGAAACTATGTGCAAAATTTTGTGTTTCTGGATCAAAGATATTTCTCATGAACATTGATTGAGTGTTGAGTAAATTCTTAACTTCAGTCTGAGAATGTTTTGTGAACTTGGATCCAGGATATCATAAGAACGGTTTACATGACCTTAAAAGCCATAATAGATGAGCGGCAGTCTACAAAATGACTAAAGCGCGTATGGATATTAACAATCATAACCTCCACTATACAGCTGAGTTTGGTCTCTTGTGCAAAAAAAAGTAACAGATTTTTTTTAAAAACATGCATCATTTTTTGGTCTGAATAAAAATTCAAGATTTCTTTTCTACTTTTAATAATAAGAGTTAGATATACAAAACAAAATCAATGAGTTTTCTAACATAAATTGGGGGGTTGGATGGCCGAATGGTTAGCACGCGCACGCTGTAAGGCCTGTGATTGAGTCAACTGGCGTGGTTTCGAATTCCCGGTTGAACGTGACAAGGAGTCGCCTGTCCAACCTCGTGGGTTTTCTCTAGGGCCTCCGGTTTCCCCCCACTGCTAAAAGACCCCTACGCGCAAGCAAATTATTGAAATAAAATTGAACAAAAATATGTTAGTCCCGAAGTGACCTAGTTTGTGTCAAGTGGACGTTAAACCCATCTCTCTCTCTCTCTCTCTCTCTCTCTCTCTATGCCTGTGTTTGTACCGTACGAAACTTGCGCTGTCTGTCTACAGTTAGCTCAACTGGATGTTTCCACAGCTCGGCATGAAAACACAGACACGAATGTTGAGGAAGCCAAATCGACGATTTAGTCGAAAACGCTATCTATGCTTCGAGAATATTGAGAAGTATTTATTATGTTTCCCTTTAATAAATTTCAAAATGTATGTTATTATTTACATACTCTATCCTAAGTGGCTACGACGTTGGCTCGCTAGCCTGGAGGTCGGGTGTTCGATCCCTGTAATGGTCGAGAAAGTTCATCCAGATTTTTCGGCGTGGTTCCCTCTTGTCAGTGATGCAGGACGGAGGGTCTGACAAGGAAAGTTGTCTAATCGTTTGGATTGGACAAAACACCGAGGTCCCGTGTACATATTGGCGTGCACGTAAAAAATCCCTTGACAGTTGTAATTCGATATAAGAGTAGGCCGTAGTGCCGCTGTCCGGGCAAAATTTCCCTCATAGCACACTGTATGGCGTATGCCCGTCTTCATTAGCCCAGTTCGGAGCAGAACAGTAGGACGTTAAACCCCATTTTATTTCATTTATATACTCTATGGCAATCTGAACGACAGATTCACTCTTCCTGCAGAGAAGTGACTCTGACACAGTGAATAGCCATTATATCCATATGACGTTATCTAAACGTCACAGGTCATTCGAGGTCACATCAACAAACAAATGTAAACACCATCATTATGATCATTATCAACATTACAAGACACAATGTTACATTGTAAACAATAGCCTTCTTGCAGCCTTTAGGACTGTATAATCCGTACAGAACGTCTTATCGCTTCTTCCAATGATTTTTCACAAAAATAACATCATCTACAACTCTAGATTTGACGTCGTTATATTGGCACTATTTTGTGCTTCGGTCGTGTCTATTTCAGATATACACAATCAATTCTGTTAATTTTTTTAGCGTGGGGGTTGACTAAAAGTTAATTTATTTCAGTTCTAAACAAAAATTTAAAACTTTAACGCAATTTTAAAAAAATAGCCAAATTCTGGCTGGGATTACTGAGCAAAATGGCCATTCACTGTATATGTGCGAAAAAAAAAGCCAGCTACCATTTAATTTTCGTACGTTAGTTACGTACGACTCTATGGATGTTATAGTTTATATTTAAATATAGTAATACACATAATAAGTTGGTGTAATTTTTTGATTGACCATGTAAAGTGTACATATATAATGTCTGTTTATGAAAGGTGTAAAACGAATTAGAACTGAATTACAAAATAGTATTCTAATTTTTGAAAATGGCGATCTTTCAGGACAGAGATCTATTCACAAAGTAAATAGTTCTATAAGCAACATAATTACAAGACAATAATGTATAATCTCATCTAGGAGCCGCCGTACTCGATCCCAGTGTTAGCCGAGAACGTTCCTCGGGATATTCCGGCGCGGTTTCCCCGTGTAGTACAGGGGTGAGGGTTAGGGGGCGTGACAAGCACACCTTTCTAATCGTTCGGATAGGATGCAAAGCCGAGGTCTCGTGTACACATTGGCGTGAATGTAAATGAACCCATGGCAATTGGAATTCGATATAAGAGTAGGCCATAGCGCTGCTGCCCGGGCAAAATTCCCCTCATAGCATACTGTATGGTGTATATACCTGTCTTCATTAGCCCAGTCGGAGCAGAACAATAGGACGTTAAAACACATTTCATTTCATCTCAGTTCAGCATCGTTTCTTTGTTTTTGTTGCAGGAGCTGTACTAATATTCCAACAGGATATTCTACATGAAGGTTCATTGTTAGAAGAAGGTAGAAAATATTCGTGTAGAACAGATATTATGTGTAGGATAAAGCACGAGACTGAGGTTATGCTGGGGAAAGAAAACCTGAAGAAAATAACCCGAGAAAAAGAAAAACCGAGGCCAGAAGTGTTTCATCCCCAGCATAATCGAAGTCGAGGACTTTATCTTGCTTATAAACCGTCTATGTTTACATATACGTACAATGAGAATATCCCAGAATTCCAGAAAGAAAAACCTGATATCGTGTATTCCTAAGGAAAATAAAAACCTACCTTGGAAGAATAACCCGTTACAGGTTTAAAGAAAAAAACTTTCAGAAGAATAACCCCAAATTCCCATGTATATATCCAAAGTCGTCCCGACTTATTCCGGGCATAGAATATACCCCAAAGATCAAAGGGATTTACCGTGATAGGTTTATAAGTCAGCATAAAACAAACCTCATTGGACCCATAACAGTTTGTTAGATGTTGATACTGCTGGCAGTGCTCACTCTGGGTTTCAGTTTTCAATTTAATTTATTAGCAATATATTTTTATCGCGGAAATGGCGATCGACTGTGTGAGCGCTGACTGCTGGACACCCAATTCATTATTTGATTTGATATATTATACATTTGTTGTCTATTGTTTGAAATATATGTGTATATTATTTGTGTTGTCCGCGTGTTTGTCTTGTGTAATTATTTGTGTGTATGTTGCGGTAGTAATGAATTCAGTAGCTTCCGTAATTAGTTCAGCCAGACTGGCGTTAAAAAAGGTGATCAAATAAAGTGAGTGTATGTCCTCCTCAAACATCTTTATTGTGACTCAATGGCCGGGAGGTTGGATGGCCGAATGGTTAGCGCGTGCGCGTTGTATCATTGAGTCAACTTGCGTGGTCTCGATTATTTCAATAATTCGCGTGCGTGTAGGAACCCGATAGGCAACAAAGAAGATAGGACGACAAACCGAGTAGGCGCATGGTTAAGTACTCTATCCGTTAAATGTGCACCAGTCAACTCAAGACGTATCTGTTGTTTTTGTGTCAAAATTCATATTGTCGTTAAATTAATAAACTTCATTAGATTATATTATATCGGTTGTAAGGAGTTCTTCCTTTCGTTTCACTACTAGAACACACAGGAATGCGATTTGTTGATCGTTTCAATTGTGAATATCAACCTGTTATAGTGCCAACATCAACCTATTATAGTACCAACATCAACCTATTATACAACATCAACCTATTATAGTACCAACATCAACCTATTATAGTACCAACATCAAAGTACCAACATCAACCTATTATACAGCATCAACCTATTATAGTACCAACATCAACCTATTATAGCACCAACATCAACCTATTATAGCACCAACATCAACCTATTATAGCACCAACATCAACCTATTATAGTACCAACAACATCAACCTATTATAGTACCAACATCAACCTATTATAGCACCAACATCAACCTATTATACATCAACCTATTATAGCACCAACATCAACCTATTATAGTACCAACATCAACCTATTATAGCACCAACATCAACCTATTATAGTAATTGTGCCTTTTGCTAATTTTAAATTCTCGGAATTAATAAACAAATCTCTCTGTTGAATGATTTTTGAAATTTTACAATAACACATTTGAAGTTTTTTCTGGTGTATGGTTATTATTCTAGAGAATATCTTAGAAACCGTTAAAGATACCTTTCAACCTATTTTCATATGTCCGTCCTTCCGTCCTTCCGTCCCGATTTCGTTTCCGGAGTATATTTCATTATCCTTTCGAGAAATCTTTATAGTATTTTTCTGCCTATTGCTTTGCTAATCGTTCGTTTCAATTGTAAATTTGATATTTTAATTGAAAATCCACAACATTGCAAATTCGTTCATTCCAAATATAAAATACATCGTCTAGTAATCGCTTCAGTTGATTTTCTAAATCCAATCTGTAATCTACGCCATATTTATTTTCTAGAATTAGTATAATTATTCCTCTAGAAATTATTCTATTTTTAAATTTCTGAATTGTGGCGACACCTTGGTACCCATCACTATACCACAAATGGTGTTTTTAATTAATTTTGTTTTGTCAAATGTAAAGTTATTGTTAGGTATATATTACATTATAAATAATGCATGATTAATATAAATTGCATATTGTACACTGATTACATATGATTTATTCTTCTATTAAATATTAAATATCGTGCATGAATTACATGTATTACATGATGTTAATATATGTACATGTATAAGAACTTTACATATATTACTGCTATTACTTTACATATACTTTATTCTGTTATTAAATGTTAAATACCGTCCATGAATTACAAATAAATCTTTTATTACAAGATCAATATCTTTCATCGATTACAATTCTTTTATTCTGTTACTGCATCTTAAATATCGTCGATGAATAGATGGAAGGTAGACTGGAATCCCGAACACCTTGCTGGCTCGTTATTCGTTTTTCGCGAATCACCACCAACGTGCAACACCGGGATCAATCGTGGTTAGTGAGTCAGCGCCTTACTCACTGTGCCACCGTGACTCCCGACCGTCGACACAGTTTACTAACATGTTAAAGAATCAAACTTACACGCCGCTTCCAATATTTAACAGAGCAGCTTCGTATTATCGCCCACTCTAAACAAATTAGGTAATTTCGGGACTAATATATGGTTTTATTTCATTTCATACTTCATTTGCGCGTAGGGGTCTTATAGCAGTGGGAGAAACCGAAGGACCTGGAGAACTAGGGGGAGGCTACTCCTTGTGACGTACAAGTTGAGTCAATGACAGACCTTATGCTCATCCACCTCCCCGTATTCCAATATAATGTTTGGACCAGTAATTTGCACGAATAGTTCCCCAAAACTCTCAAACAAAAAACAAACAACCCAAAAACATAAAAAAAAACCTGGGCAACAGGGTGCTGGCTGTCTCGTAACCTGGCTGTTTCGTACTTAGTTCATTCGTACCTCAAATTGATTCGAGCCATTTCCTATGTTACTGAAATCGGTTGAAATAAATTGAATATGCCGAATTAGAATTAGAATATGCACGAGATTTGTACCTCAAATAGATTAGTTCCTTTTCCTAAATCCAACGGCTGTGCTAAATTTATAAAAAGTGCCCGTGACTAGTACAGTTAATACAGTGTGATTTCTTTTGTTTAATTTATACCTATAAATATTTCTCCACGTTCAATGTTTATACGTGGTTACTGACAGCAGGACTAGTATCATGTTCTATTTATAGTATACTCTCAGTCGTCATAGTCTATTTATAACATAGTTGTCAATATATTTGAAATGGAATGAAATGTAGTTTAACGGTCTATTGTTCTGCCCTTACTGGGTATACGCCATACGGTGGGCTATAAGGGATATTTGCCCGGACATCCGTCCTACCGCATACTTTGTCACGTGCATGTCAATATGTACATGGAACCTCGATTTTCGTCCCATCCGAAGGACTAGACAGCTGTCCCCGCCAGACCCGCCGTCCTGCATCACTGACAAGGGGAATAACGCATGGTTCGAGCACGGGACCTCCAGATTAGCAAGCCAATGTCTTACTCACTGAGCCACTATGGCTCCCGAATTCAAAATAACCCTTGTAATATGTCAACTAGACCGTAGACATTAATCATTTCGGTACGGATCTTTTAAGATTTCAAAGAGGACTACTTTCATAACAAATTAATGAAGAACTCATATTTCACATTTTATTTAAATGATCAACGTGAATATACACTAAAATATAGTTCTCATGTCAACACCAAAAAATAGAATACAATTATCCTATATAAAGGGTACTCTTCCTAGCAAAATGTGAGGAAATAAAAAAAAACAAAATCAAAACAAAATGAAATTCTAAAAAGTTTAGCTTGAAACGTGGCTACGTTTGGTCGCAGAAGTTGCTTATCGTTATTAATTTACTTATTGAAAGCCAGAATTGTTGACATAAACTCGTACTGATCTGCGAAATCAATCAAACATATGTTCATCTTGTTCGGCCCAGCCACTTTGGTTGATAGCCAGGTTACAACAGCAGGGGATGCTTTATCAGCGAGGGCCGTCTTTAAACTTTGGCAACAATTATTTACAGTGAAGCAAGTATCGGGGGTTAAAACACCCTGATAGCTAAGAAATATTTGCTCGTGGTCACCAGAGTTTTTGTAAACGTTTTCTAAACCCTCCTCGAGTCGGTTCACATCTGTTGTGTTGAACCACGGAGAACGAATGACGCTACCCGGCCATATTTTGGAATTGTTCGTTGCATGATGATAAATAACAATGACTTGAAGTTTTCCCGACCATAACTTGTTTAATGTCAGCGAACCTGTATCCTGCAATGGACAAACTTTATCTCCGAATATTTCCAGAATCATTTTAATTAACTGTTCGTGTCTTGCATTCTTCATCTCTTTGTTGAAGTGGTTAAAATCAAGAATTATGACTTCCTTGGGATGCTCATCGAGGAATCTATACATAATACGTAAACAAGGCTCGACTTTATCAGCATACAGAGTGTGATAAAAATAAAGATCTTCAGTGTCCGGTTTAGTGGTTACTCGTAAATCAAAATATCGAATACCAGCTGTCAGTTGCTGAAGAAAGTTCATATTTTGTGTTTTTGCCCATCGATAGATACATGTACATCGTCCAAATATGCAATATAAACATTTAAGTGCATTAGGAGCATCTGGAAAAAGTCCTTCATTTCTATCAAACTCATACGCACCCGAATCGTGACAACCTGGAAAACAGAACAGTGGTAACCATAATTCTGTTTTAAAAGAGGACTGATATTTTAATTCTTTTCTCTCATTTTATTTTCCGGCTTAACCAGATTTGGTCGTAATTATTTCATTGTTTTACTTTCGGTGACTAACAGAAGGTCATGCCATCCCATTATCTATGGCTGTTTATACATAGTTTCCTTTTACTTTTTCGTGGCAAGGAGGAGGGTCGCCTGTCCAACCTCGTGGGTTTTCTCCGGGTCCTCCGGTTTCCTCCCACTGCTAAAGACCCCTACGCGCAAGCGAATTATGTAAATAAAATTAAACCATATGTTAGTCCCGAAATGACCTAGTTTGTGTAGAGTGGACGTTAAACCCCATTTCTCTCTCTTTTACTTTCTTGTTGGAAACGATAGGTCGATACGTCATTAGAATACGTTAGTAAGCAATGTGACCGATTATATCAACCGTTACTTCAAAGGGAGAGCAAGAGCGACACCAACCAACTATTAATTCAATAAATCGTTGATTGGAGGAACTGGGGGAAAAACCACTAGGTTGAACATGCGACCACACTCCTGGTTACGTGCAAGTTTGAGCTTGGGCAAATAGTAAAGATATTTATGGGCACAATTCAAGCCCCGTGAAACGAATTTCGTTCTAGTTGTTCTGCAACTGTGTCCAACGACAACCATCCACCCAACGCTTTAATCAACTAATTAAAACAAGACTAAAGCAAAAATAACGGACTACGGGCGTATTAATATGTGTAATCGCACAAACTCATATCAGGGGGATCAATAATAGCTTATTAATACACAAAATTTGAATTCTCGTATAAGAGCCACACACCATTACGCCTTGTTGCCACCCCCTTGTGAGAAATGATGAGTGACGTAATTAGCTTCCATTTTTGTATTTCTCGATGCCAAAGTTTGTGAGAAGTTCAATTTTTTTAAGGAGAGTATTTTTTTCGTTGGGGTATTTGATAGTACAATGGTACAGATACCTTTATAAATAACCATTTATTAAGTCGTTCGTTCATAATTGAAGAAATCAATTTAAAATTTATGACAGTTCAGACAGTAAATGCGAAACAGGAAGTGTTTATTTCCTTGATGAAAATAGGGACTTTCTGACAGCTGTAGAAAGGAGACAATCACTCCATCTGTACCTACCTGGTATGGCCAACTGATTTAAAGGTGTCTCATGTAGATGTTCAGGTAAATTTGACATCCAATCAGGATTTTCTGGAAAAACTGCATATTTTGACATTTTGTACGGCAGCTATATTTGTTATCTTCTCTTCAGTCTTAAATTGAGTTGTCCTCCTTTATCTGAGAGAGAGAGAGAGAGAGAGAGAGAGAGAGAGATGGGGTTTAAAGTCCACTCGACACAAACTAGGTCAATTCGGGACTAACATATTTTTGTTCAATTTTGTTTCAATAATTTGATTGCGCGTAGGGGTCTTTAGCAGTGGGGGGGAAACCGGAGGACCCAGAGAAAACCCACGAGGTTGGACAGGCGACTCCTTGTTACGTTAAACCGGGGATTCGAAACCACGCCAGTTGACTCAATGACAGGCCTTACAGCGTGCGCGTGCTAACCATTCGGCCATCCAACCCCCCAATTTATGTTAGAAAACTCATTGATTTTGTTTTGTATATCTAACTCTTATTAGAAAAGAAATCTTGAATTTTTATTCAGACCAAAAAATGATGCATGTTTTTAAAAAAAATCTGTTACTTTTTTTTTGCACAAGAGACCAAACTCAGCTGTATAGTGGAGGTTATGATTGTTAATATCCATACGCGCTTTAGTTATTTTGTAGACTGCCGCTCATCTATTATGGCTTTTAAGGTCATGTAAACCGTTCTTATGATATCCTGGGCCCAAATTCACAAAACATTCTCAGACTGAAGTTAAGAATTTACTCAACACTCAATCAATGTTCATGAGAAATATCTTTGATCCAGAAACACAAAATTTTGCACATAGTTTCTTATTAATGTATTTGATACATTAAAACAGCAAAAGTTTGATAAGGGACAAATTTCAGTTAAAATAACGCGATCAATTTTCAAGAGAAAATTCTTAACTTAAGTCTGAGAATGTTTTGTGAACACGGGGCCTGCTAGTTTCTATTTATTTTACCTGTTTTAGGAACAAATTCCACACGATCACCAGATATCTTCGAGATAAAGGTTGTTGACCCACCTTTAAAACCCTGTAAATATATAAGCACTCATCGGTTACTGTGGTAATGATGGTGAGTGACATCCGGGTTTTATGAGAGACAGAGAAATGGGGTTTAACGTCCATTAGACACAAAAGGTTCAATTTTATTTCATTAATTCGCTTGCGCGTAGGGGACTTTAGCAGTGGGAGGACACCGGGGGTTCGGGTTTTAAAATCCAGTCACCATTGTGGTATACTGTATAGCAACATCGAAAGTGATTGTTATTATAGCGACACTGTGTCAATAATGACCAAAAAAATCCATTGAAATGTGGTTGTATATTGTTGTCGCCCTCGTCGGTCCGTCTAGAGGCTTAAGTAAGTTTATATCCGATTGACTTTAAATTTAAGGTCATGAGACGAAGAATCCTATTGGTTTTCCACGATTTCTAATAATTATACTGCCAGGGTTATTGCCCTTGATCACTTTGAAAGCACCCATTTCGCTAATACGTAATGGGGACAGGGGTGACAATGTAGAAAATGTTCAAACTTGGAAGAGGCTGGGTAGGATTCAGACCGAAATAGTAAAATATATGTTTTGATTCATAATAACAATAATATCGTCATTTATATAAAGCGCTTTGATTTAGTTTCTAAGACACTGTTTGTTGTTACATTCATTGATCATTTACAGATCAGGGTTTTGAAATAAAAATGTTTTTAGTTGTGATTCAAAATTGCCCATAGACATCAAATGTTTCATTGACTTTGATAGTTTATTCCATAGAAATACCATAATTGGTAATTGTGTTTGCCATTTAACGTTTTTACCTCATTCAGATAGAGCTGTAAACTAAAATAACTCTTCTCGCCATTTTCTCCTGTATAGCATCCATCAAAATGTGATTTAAAATATTCACCTGGGTCATATCTTAAAAACTTCAGAATACACGGAGATAAAATGAAATGGGGTTTATCGTTCTACTTATTTTTTGCACCGATTGGACTAATGACGACGCATTCTGATTAAAATACAGATCTATATTTCGTTTTGGTTTTTTTTATACTTTCGATAGCCTACACTAACATAAAGCTATTATTTGTAACATAAAGTTACTACTCGCATCATAAAGTTATTAATCGCAACATAAAGTTATTTATGGTGACATAAAGTTATTTATGTCACCTAACTTAGTTATAACCGTAACATTTAGTCATTAATATTAACATAAAGTCATTAATAGTACAACATAATACAGCATTTCGAGAATATGAACTATCTCCTTTAACACGTTTTTAGCCCATGCCCATCTTAGTAACATTTACAATGCGAAAAAGTGTAGATAGGGGGCGTTCTGAAGTGCAGAAACCAGGCGATATTCTCTTCTGAAGAGCACTTTTTATTTATTGGTCAATTGTGGCACCATGCTCACGAAATAATAATTTTGTCCGGCATACTTGAAACAAATCAGTCTTCTACAGGGATTTCGTTATGTGTTGAGCTTGGAACCCGTGCTGAAGTACGAACCCGGGGGATTCTTTTGTTCTGAAGTGGTGTTTTATTTACTTTGTGACCATACCCTATCAGCTGAAACACGAATATAAGTTGTCCGTCATATTTGAAATTAACCTCTCTATCGGGGGCGTTCCGAAGTACAGAAACCAGGTGATATTCTCTTCTGAGGGGCATTTTTAATTTATAGGTCAAGTGTTGCACCATTCTCACGAAAGAAGAATTTTGTTCGCCATACTTGGATTTTTTGTTCTGAAGTGCACTTTTAAAGTTTGCCTTAGCAACGTGAACATATGTAGCGAAGATTAACTTTGTCCGCAAAAATTTAAATTAAATCGACCTTTTCCGCGATTTCGGGGGCGTACAGTCCCTAAACCCAGGGGATGTGTAACTTAAGAATTCCCATTCTGATCATGGTGCCTCCGTTAGGCATAGTGCCAATTTTGTCCCCTTGTTTAGGAATAACGGCCAGCTAGCTCCCCTACTATCGATGGGTAGGTTCAGAAGACAAAAACGGTACAAAGACAAAAATAACACTACAGTTGTAGTTCTTATATCTATGATTCGTTCAATGATTTTACTGATTTGGTGACAAAAGTTTGTTTCAACCCAATTGATCTATCCTTTTCAGGCATAGAACTGGGGTCAATTTCGGCCGGAGTTTGAGGGGATTACCGGAGAATTTGGTAATATCGTAGACAATTATTTCTGCTCGTTTAGGTACGTATATATATGTATATGGTTAGGGTTTAGTGAGACCACCACGGCAGCAAGGTTTCGCACGTTTGTTTATTCCAAGTTATTTTGAGAATAGAAATATGCTTTAAGAGAAGAAACTGAACAAAAGTGAAAATATCAAAATTTGCCAAGTTCTTTGTGACTGTTCGGCCCCATTTGAACAAACCCCAAAAGACACTCCATAATCTATAAACTGTGCTTGATTTAGGTAATTTAAAAACGTGTAATGTCCCTTAGTGGCGCAAGACCAAGGCCGTTTGAACAAATATGAATGAACACTTCGGTCCTAATAGAAACTATCCATCTAATTAGTCTGGAATCCATAAACGGTTCAGACAAAGCCGAAGATGTAAAAAAAATTACGGAACGACGAATGACGCAGGGAAAATTACAAAAGTCTGTTAGAACAATTTTGATGGTGTGGTTTTTTTTTTACCAGAAGAGATTTTTTAAGATATTGGACATAGACAAAATTCTAGACACACACGTCTAGAAACAGGAATACAATTTCTACGACCTAATTCAATGTTAAGTTTATGCTTTGAACATCTAAAATTTGCTAAATAAAATCTTAGTGATTGGGGTAGATTAATATTTAAGTAATTCTCACATTCAAAATCTGACTTTATGATAGAATAGAATGTACATTTAGTTGATTGGTTGATGTTTGATTGCCCAGACTGTAGACTGAAATGTGGTATACTACCTACCCCTTGAGCAATCCTCACATCCCCAAAACCATACTTATATAAAACATTCCTAACACAAGTGCACCAGTTTTTTCTACCCAATAAGTCTTGTTTAAACAACATTTTATAGGTAATCGTATTATCATCCATGAGTTGCAGTTTAGGAAAATATTTGATAGGCCTGCACATATAGTTTACATACAAATCATATCTGCCACATTCACCTCTAATCATATAATTTGTAGTCTTTTCTCCGGTATATAACAACCATTTGCAAAATTTATTTTGTACAGACTCAATCTGTGGTCTTACTTCAAGCCCCCAAAGTTCTGATCCGTCTTACGTATTTCTTTTGCGTCTTTTCCTTTCATTAAATTGATCATTTAAATAATCCATCTAGAAATAGATTTCTTAGAAAACCTTTCTTTCTATGTGTCATTTTATTGTGTTTATGGAATGTATACTTACATTTAATAAAAAAGAGACATTCAAACTAGAGACTATTTATAAATATCCCGTTGATCTGTTTCTAGGTGGTAAAGGTAAACTTTAATAAAACAAGCATGCATACCTATTTATCCAGAGGGGGGGGGGACTGATTGGTTAGCACGTGCGCGCTGTATCATAAAGTCTATCATTGAGTCAACTGGCGTGGTTTCGATTCTCCAGTTGTACGAAACAAGGAGTAGGGGCACTTGTCGCACCTCGTGGTTTTTCTCCGGGCCCTCCGGTTTCCTCCCACTGCTAAAGACCTCTACGCGCAAGCGAATTATGGAAATAAAAAATTGAACCATATGTTATTGTTAGTCCCGAAATGACCTAGTTTGTGTCAAGTGGACGTTAAACCCAATTTTTTTTTCTCTCTCTCTATTTATCCAGAGTTGACAGCAAAGATTTATATGTTTATTGTGAAGGACCTAGATATTCCATATCGTATTATACACTGTTAAAATGGATGGAATTTAAAACTACATGAAGTGTAGTTTGATTATACCTATTCCCGCTAAACGCTGCTTTAACGAAAGCAAATTTCTGTTCCAAATTATGACTGGTCAATGGTCCGATTAACAACCAATAGGTAACTGCGTTTCAAAAGCATTGCGCTTAAATCAGAACTCCAAATTGGACCAAATATGTTTACATAACGTTGCGTTATTATGCCCAATTAAACAGTGCATAGCAGAATATTGCATAAAAACTAATTGCGTGACAAACGAGGCTATCCAATCGAAAACAATGTAAACAATACTGTTTGGAGAAGAACATATTTTCACCGTTATTAATACTTCAAATCACTGTCCAAAGTTTTAGGAAAGACCAAGATTAAACGAAGGGCTATCATGTTGCCGTAATTGGGATAGATTTGATTGAACGGTAAGAATATACATACTCCCCAAAAAGCTCAAGTATCAGAAGCCAATCCATCAATGGCCAGAGAGGGATTTCTCGGGCCATTGCTTCAGGAATATGCTACTTTTTAAGAACATAACCCCTTTGAAAAATTAACCAACTAAACAAGTGTAGCTGATATTCACGACTACTGAACACCTGAATAGATGTAATTATAAACGTTAAAGACTGTATTGAATGAGCTACACCACTACTATTGTTATACTACATTAGGCGGGTATAGATAACGGTGCACCTAGAACAAACTGCAACAGAAATCATTTCTTTGGGAACTGTTGAGGTGTGGTCTCTAGTACTCCCATAACGAAAGCGGCCATTATCGGTCTTCGGGAAATTTGCATAATTAACAAAATCCAAGATGGCCGATAGTGGACCAGAAAATCGCTGAAATCTTCAAATGGGTTGACTTTAGTGCAAATAAATGTCTTAACGACCTATAGGAAATCTACGATCTTTACCTACGACCTTTTTATGACGTAACGTCATTTTGATGGCATTACGTCGTTCTCATTGTAACGTCATTATCAAATTGTATTGTAACTGCGCTCGGAAAACTGTTGGAAACCATGAACCGCTGTACAATTTCTATAAAAGAACACATCTTCACCCAAACTGAAACTCCACATCATCGTTCATCGGTATTTTACGGCGTGGTACCCCTTGTCAGTGGTGCAGGACTGAAGAAATGGCAAGGGACA